ATTCTGCTGTAGGCTGAATAAATGTGTTAATGACATTACAAAAACAGTGAATTCAACATGAGTGTTTTTTGCAGTTTAGTTTCCATATATGGAACATCTGTACAGGGTACATTTTTGTTATGTTAACAAAGTTTCATACTACAGACACTTTTAAATGAGGGAAATCTGTTTTTCTATTATATGGACCCTTTAAATTGAAATAGTAACATGAGTGCTGCTAAAGCAAGAACAGTCCTTAGTGTCTGCAGATGGTCTTTAAAGTCTTGTCATCTAGCTTTTAGCACACTGAATTTGAAAGAGAATCAGAGATTATCTTCAGTGTACTATTTCTACAGTCCCAATTCCACATTCTTCTGAAGTGTTATCACACGAGAGACTAGTGAATCTTGAATTAGCTTGGAAAAAATAATTTGCTTTTCTCTCTGTCTCTGCTGTTTATCAGAGTGAAGGAAATGATTTCCCTCTGTGTCCAAAGAGCTGATAACTCTGCTTATTTCAAATTAGTAGGTCAAGACTGTCTATTATCATTGGACCTGATTTATAGTTATAGGGACACTGCGGGGGCTTTTGAAAGCGCACTGTATTAGACAGCTACATCTGTTGCCAGAGGCATCTGCCAGGAAATCGATAAGATGCCAGGCTGGATTCTGCAAGGCTGGAGACTCTGATATACAGTACAGTATAGGCATTTATTCCATCTACCACTCAAGTGATGTTCAGTGAAAATCTGCCCCAATTCACTTGCGCAGGCTCACTGATGAAAGAGCTGAGATGCAATGTAGGCAGGTGCTTTATTCTGTCTGGAAGGTGCTCTGAGATATCTAAGAACATTATGCAAAGGCAGAGCGCGTCGGAGTTAAATGCGCTTTTAACGAGAGTTATGCTTCTTTGTAGTTGTCAAAGCCAGATTGCTGTTGGTATCCATGCATACGCACGCTCATTCGGAGGAGATTGCACTTTGAGCATTAGCAGAGGAGGAGGCAGAAGAAGGAGCATGATTCTAATGAGTCTAGGCAACACGAATTGCTGCAAGGAATACTTGTATTTCTTAGTAGATGAAAAGCAGTAGTAACTATTAGAGAATCAAATTCTCTTTCCGTGTTTTCAAATTGATTACTTTATAATACTATGGAAAGATATCAGTAACTGCCTTTTGTTCTTATGGACTTTCAACATTGTGTCTCCCAGTAATTGTTAGTAAAGGGACTGGCCTGGCAGAACCATTTTTTCTTTCAGCCATCATTAGGATGCCACTCGTCTTGTGATCCTCATAACAGTTTTCAAATTGCCCTGATAAAGTGTCCCTTTCTTGTTGCAAATAAGACTTTTTTCATCACTCTGTGTAAACAGATCACAGTGTTTTGAAAGGTCAGATAACTCTTCTTGTCACCCAGACTACATTGTCTTGCTGTGGTGCTCTAAAGAGGCTTATCACCGCTGAATGCCAGTATATCTTGCACAGGAGTTAATCATGGAAAATGAAAGCCCTCGTGAGACCGGTCCTCAGGCCTGTTGGTCCTTATAGCTTGTCCACTAATAGAAGAGGACAAGCATGGTGTCCTGCCAGAGATGTGATTCAGAACCAGCTGCATGGATGCTACTGATTTGGAACAGTGATGATGCTAACAACACAGCAGATGGCCAGACGATAAACAGTGATACCAGTATTGTACACAGTTTGGTTTATTTGTTTGTTCTATGTTTGTATGTCTGAGGCACAACAAGAGATCCTCTGAGGTGGGAAAGGAGAGCACTCAAAACACAGTATTATTATTTTCTCATTATTTTTTTCTCCAGTATTGGGAAAGTTACTTCAAAAAAGTAAGAGGCATTAATAGTTACTGTAACTCAGAGTTACTACACATAACTGCATTGGAGTAACCTGTTATATCACCTGTAAAGTTACTTTTGGGTTATTCAGTCAGTACTGTACTAAATTGTACTAAATTTTGTACACGCTGTAATTTGTGAATGGTGTTGTTTCAGCAGTTCAGTTATTGTAATAGAATCTGGAGAACACAAAAGTATGAATCACTTTCAGTGTCTTGCAGTGTAAGTAAAGGTCTGAACCTTTTGAAATATTTCTTGGATCTTAGAAAACTTGTTTCAGAAGTGATCTCCTAAAGTAAAGTAAGCTGAGTCTATTCTAGATCTCTTACTGTGAAATCAGTGTTTCTAATCCCCATAATTATCCTCAGTTTGCATTTTTGCTATGCATAAAAGCACAAACAGGTCCCGTCCAAATTAGCTTTGTTTGTATTACATAGGAACAGGGGAGCTCTGGGAATTTGAGTTTTTATTCGTAGTTGAAACTCATGTGTGTTATACTCTCTTTTTGCCTTATTGTGTAGGGTGTGCACCCTCATGACAGAAAATACAAGAAACTCTGTGAAAGACTGACATTACGTTTGTGATGTTCTCTGTTTTGGAAGTCTGTTGAGACTTTAGATCATGCCAAAACCTTTAACTTTAGAGTCCATTTCCAGGTCCGAGAGTTTTCTGTGTTTGTGCCTTATTGAGTACCACTACATTTTATGTCTTTTCATTCAACTTAAGGTAAATCTCATTCATTAGTGTCATAATGTTGACAGGACACAGAGTGGTTCAAGGCTTTGTTGATCATACAGTGAGAGTTATAAGTATAACTGTGTATCAGAATAACTGTGAAAACTAATATAAGGCTTTATAATGACATTACAAAGTGGCATGCATAAACCCTGAGAACAGCAATGGGCAAGTACAAATGCATACAAAAGCAATTAGAGCTATCTCAGAAATTTTAAAAGCTTTATTAAAATGTATGTTGTATTTTGTCAAGTGAATAATTTTAAAACTGTTTTTTAACCTGTTTTGCCAAGGAGGAAGGACCAACACACTGATGCATAAAACATGTGCACAATAATGCACAAAATTGTGTTTTACTGAAAGTGCTATATATTTAGTATACTTTTTGTAAAAACCTTTCTGTTAAAATCCTTGTGTATCTTGAAATTACATCATAGCCATCAAGCTAAACTGCAGTCAATGATTTATACCCAAGGTCCTTTTCATTTGGGGACAATTGAAATCTAGTGATTTTCAAATTTGATGAAATTTGAAATTTTTACTGTCTGTCCATACTTGCTTCCAAACCAAACACTGAGAACAGAAATCACTCAAATATAAAATACTTTTGAATAGGGACCACACTTGCAACAAAGAAAAAAGAAGTGTCTTGGGTGAAAGAAGCCCCAGCCTGGGCCAAAGGTAGCCAATTAGCTAGTAAACTCATGAGCTAGTGTGCTTTGTTTTAGAATTGTTTTAGAAAATGTATTGCATAAAGTTAGATAAGTGTGTGTGAACTGATTGTGTGTGTACCCGACCTTACCTGTAACCCTAAACTTACCCCTTTATTTTGAAGAAACAACTTACAGTAGCTAACACTGTTGAGGACTAAGCATAACCCTTATCTTACCATTTTACCTAGCAATAATGTGAGATACCTCATCGACACTTAGCTAGATAGTTAGTTGGTTATCATCCCTCCAAGCCTCAGCCTTTCGCAGCCCAGGGCTTGGTCTTTGGTACTGCAGCTGGACACTACTGGCCTTTACTTGTTCAGTTCTTATTAGATAGCATAGTGTTTCATTTTGGGAAGCTCACTTTTGAATTTAATACTGGCATCAGACCAGAGTTTATAGTCTGAAATGTATTCATGTCTGCTCCTAATCTAGAAATAAAGTACTTAGTACATTAAGTACTAAGTAATAGTTTACCAAATGAGTTCAGAGTTCAAAGTGTAAATAAGTGCAAGGGATACAGTGTACTCCTGAAAATGGAAATTTGACCTGTTTGTTATTGAGACGCTCAGCAATGACCAAGTCAGACCCCAGTTGTGTTGTCTGGAATTTCACTGTAATTTAGACATGTGCAATGAAGAGGCTTTTCTTTCTTAATATTCGTGTTTGCAACCACTTAACAAATCATCTACTATTCTGATGGAATTCCATCACATTATTTCTGCAGGATGCATTTGCCATTTTTTAAATCAGATCTGAGAGGCTGTTAATGTTAAATGCCATGGTAATCTCAATACAAATAGAAAACTTTGAAAAGCTTTCAGAAGCTGTATTGAGAGAGAGAGCTGGTTTAAGCATGCAGTAAGCGCTGGGTAATCCAAATCTATCTGGATCATATTCCATGTATTCAGTCACACTATTGCTGTGCTGATCAATTACCATACCAGCATACTTCCTTGGAATTTGAGGATTTTATAAAAAAAATGATGAAAAACATAATACACTTGGTGCATTGTATTATGAGAGCAAGTCTCAAGTCAACATGTGTGCTTGTGAACGATGATCTCTAATCACATGAGTGCTTAAGTTAGTTTCATGTGGACAAACGGAATAGCTGATTTGTGTGTTGTAATTTTGTTTTCCTACATCCGATCACTTTCCTTCTCTGATATTAAAGAGACATATTTTATTGATGGATCTGCTGGTCAGAATATTGATCACTGTTCATTATAATTTCAGTACACAGACAATGTTTCCCAAAACTCTTGCATTAAAGGCTGAGGATTTCCTGTGCGTAGAGTTGTAAACAATATTTTAGATTACTTTATTTGTTTTCCTGAAATTTGAGTTCGTTTTATTTGTCAGAATAATTACCACTTTTGGCACATCATTACAATAGTAGATTTGATCTGTTTTTCAGCTTGTCTAGCTAACCTGACCATGTGACAAATATGGATCAGGCATTTTGATGCAGGTTATGGTTATGGTGTATGTGTGGGTTTTATTGCTGTGACTATAACAAAAGTTTTGGAAGAAGCCTACATTAGAGAAAAGGTAAATAAATTGAGGTAAATAAATGGCTATGAATGTACAGCACCAGAATGCTGACACTTAATGTGTCTAAATGTCTTTTATAAGGAATAAAGTTTGCTATGTTCTTTCATTTAAATTTATATTATAGCAGGTAATAAACATAAATGATTTTGATTTTTTTTTACACAGGCTGAGTGGCTGTGTTTGAATTGCCAGACTCAAAGGGCCTTAGCTGGGAAGATGGGAGACATAGGACAAATGTCTACACTGTCTACACAGCAAGTCAAAACTTCAGTGAATGTGCAGGCCACTGAAACCACCCTTGGGCCAACTATCCCTAAAGTACCTCCAGTAGGTGCAGGAACTGCTCTCGCTGCTCCTGCTTCTGTGCAGACTACAGATGCTCCAGTGCATGAGACTGTGGACAAGACACCTGAAGTGAAAATTGAAAGTCAGCGGCCAGCAGATAAAGAGGAGAAAAGAAGATCAGAGGAACAAAGACAGGCCGGAAGCTTTCAGTTTGCGTATAAGCCTATCCAAAATGAAGAGGTTGTGGTTGAGGTTGAGAGTAATCCTACTACACCTTGTGAACTTGACGGCACAGTGTTGTCAGTATTGGGGGATGAGACTAGGACCTTGAAGGTTGACAAACAAGGACAGGACATCTTTTCAGTTTCTCCTGAGTCATATAGCTCAGCTGAGGAAGAGCTTAAAGAAATTCACAGAGCTAGTGAGTCCTCACTGAGAAAAACTGCATCAGAACTAGTGTATATCAAGGATCCAGTGAGTATAAAGCAGCATCCTGCATGTGTGGAGAACAGCAGTGAGAGTGAACCATCACCACATCTCCAAAGGAGAAGGAAACTAAGCGCTGCATCATCTAGCAGTGAAGACTTTAAACTAGACAGCCCAGATTCTGGAGATGAAGAGTTCATACGGAGACAGCTAATGCAAATGAGCGCAGATGAGGGTTTATCACCAAAAGATGAGGAAAACTACATCAGGAAAGAGATCAGAGAAAAGGAGCAGCAAGTGCAACATGAAGCCAGAGAGGCAGAAAGGGAAACTACTGAGACTAAACTCAAACAAATCCTAAAGAAATCAAGTGTGGAGCTTGAAGAGAGTGCTGATAAAAGCCTGACATCTCAGGATCAGGATGTTCAAAGCATGCATGTCATACCTATTTCAGAAACTATAGAAGAGACAGTGACAGTGATGGTCTTGAATGACAATGAAAAAGAAAGAATCACAGACAATAACAGTGCTGTAGCCATTTCTGCACAACAGAGCATTTCTATTAGACAGATTACTGAAGAGGAGAGTTTGATTGAAGACTCTGAAGATAGGTCAAAAGGTGATGGATCCTCCAGTATTCAGGCATCCAGCGTCACACCAGGAACCACATCACCTACATCTGCGTCTTCATTTGATGAAGAAAGTGATAGCAGTCCAAGTCACAAGAAGGCAAGTGCAGAGGGCAAACAGCAAATGAAAGTCAAGCATAGGCAAGGACAAGCCCTTCCAACTATAGAGGACTCCTCTGAGGGAGAAGAGATGCAGGATAAAGGTTATCAGCTTTTGGAACATGAACAACAAAGTGAGAGTGAACAGCAGCTTAAAAAGACTTCCCAAAAATCCAAAAAAGATGAATTACATGCACAGAGAAGACTTGATTATCTACCCAGTAACACCTCTACAGTGGGAGTTATATCTCAAACTGAGGATGAATGGCAAGTTTTAGAGGTTAAAACACAAGACTTATACTCTTTCTCTAACATCTCACCAAGTATTGAGTCTGAACCAGAGAATGCCTATACTCACTTGCTGCCAGAAGAGAAACCATTAAAGAGTGCAGAAGAAACATATGAAGAAATGATGGAAAAAGCCCAAGCACTCAGAGCTATGACAAAGAAAGTCACTCCACCTGAGATTGAGCCACTCTATGGAGGAATGCTGATAGAGGACTATGCTTATGAGTCACTAGTGGAGGAACCAGCACAGGCTGCAGCAGTTGAAAGCAGTTTTACTGAGGATCAATATCTTAGTAAAGTGACTGTACAAGACACTGTAAGAAAGCTTAGAACACCAGAAGAAGCCTACGAGGAGATGCAGAAGAAGAGAGAGCTCATGCTAGAAGGACAGACAGTTGAACATGAACATGTAGACAGAGCAGCTCCTCAGACAGACTTTTTTGGACCTGCTGCTACTGATACTTGCTATGTGACTATATCAGGATATGATCAACGTTCTGTATGCAAAGAGGTAGAATCCCAGCTGAATGTCGAACCTGCAAATGAAGAAGTGTTGAAGAAGCAAAAAGAAGTTCTGACACCTGGAACAAGTCCTACACAGTCAAGTCCATTGTCTCCAGTATCCCCTTTATCTTCATCTGAGCCTTCATATGATTCCCCTGAAGTGATACTAATTCCCTCAAGCGGTGAGGAGGACAATATTAAGGATGAATATGTAACTGAACCTATTGAATGTGCTATGCAGCCTTACATTTCTGAGTCACCTCCTGAAGACTTATCTGTGAAGAAAGCTCTCTATCCTATCCCTGACCTGAAAATTACTCAGTGTTCTTCTGGTGAAGATGACGCTGGGGATGAAGATAGCAGTATACAAGAACATGAAATAGCTGTGTCAACTGACACTACTCAGGGTGTTTACAGTTCTGTTAAAACAGAACCCTCAGCACAGACACAGTCAGTAGAGATGGAACCCATATCTGTTGTGTGTGAAGTTCCTCAAACAAAGCCTGTGCTAGAAAATGTTTCATTTTGGGATTCAACGCCATCTCCTCTGTCTCCACAAACTTCATCTCCAGATTCAGCAACGCCATCACTTACAGATCAGACTCCAGATTCAGGCATCATTCCAGAAACCCCTATTGTTACAGAAAGTTCAAGAGCTGTTGTACCTGACTTTGCTCCAGTTATAATTACGATGCCAGATTCTGTCGCTGAGCCAGCTCCCCAAATCTCAGTGGTAAAAGCCCATCCTATTGCAGTTTCCCTTCAAGAAAGGGCATCTCTACCACAAGTCACAGCAGTGGCAACAGCTCCTTCCCCACCAGAGGTTTCTAAACCACCTTTAGCTCCAAAACCAATCACAATTTCTGCTGCAGCAGACATTTCTGTTTCTAAACCACCACTAAGTTCAAAACCAACTTCAGCACCTAAAACAGCTGAAGTCTCTGATACTAAACCACCATTAGCTCTAAAACAAAGCCCACCTCCTATGCTAGCTGAAGTTCCTGTTTCTAAACCACCTCTAGCTCCAAAACCAACACCAAAGCCATTGCCTACCTCTGAAGCCATTATTGTTAAAATACCAGATGGAGTGGTATCACCTGTGCTAGATTCAGTTTTGCAGACTGTAGTTTCAAAATCTGTCCTGGAACCTTCTCCAACTTTGCCAACATCATGCACAGATTCATTGCATGAGCAAATTCATATTTCTGTCTCAATACAAGCCTCTGTGGATGCTGCAGGGTCTACAGTACTAGCTTCCTCAAGTGCATCTGTGTCTCCAGCACAAGCCCCAATCCCATATGTAACACCAGCTCCTATAGAGCATCCAGCTCCAGTACCATTTTTAGAGCCAATCTCATCTCCTGGGTCCACTACAGAATCTTCATCCCCAGCCATTGTTCAAGTTTCACCAGCTGCTCCAGTTATTGTCCTAATGCCAGACCTAGTTACTTCACCTTCCCAATCTCCAGTTCATACTGCAAATATTCTAGCCCCTAAACCTGTTCCAACAACCTCAGCAGTAGAACAAGCCCCTGTTTCTGTTCCAACATCCATATCAGAATCCATCCCAACATACCCTACCACTACAGCTCAACTGATCTCTGTTCCATCACACGTTTCAGTTCCTTCATGCTCGGCATCCATGGAGCATGCCTCCATTTGTCCTCCTATATCAGAACCAACAGGACTAACTACTCATTATGAGCCATCAGTACCACTATCATCAGTTCCACCTGCTATTCCTGCTGCAGACAGAACAGTTATGCCCCCAGACACAGATTCTACTCAAATTTCAATCCTTAGTCAAAATGCAGACAGTTCGCATGTAGCAACTCCTTCACCACCTATTGCTGGACAAACCAGAATTCATGCAGATTATACTGCTACAAAAGAAGTCCCTGTCATTACTTCTGCACTAACTACAGCTGCTGCCTTTGTAGATTTACCTTCTCAACCCACTCAATCGGTGGTACTGGACATACAGTCAAGGATAGGGAATATTCAACCTACAGTAGATGCCTCTGATAGAGTAACATCACAGTCTCAGATTGTGACTCCTGCTATGCAGACAAGACAAGGTCATTTTGTCATCATTTTGCCAAACTTTGAAAATATGTCTGTGATGAATCAAACAGCGCAAGATATTGTCAATAATGCCATGGCAGCAGCAAACTCTATTGAAGAAGGCAGAAGTCATCCTGTGGTAGTGAGTTTATCTCCTGTAATCAGTACAGATGCTGCTCAATTTGTATCAAGTATGGGACTGACAGCTGGCCTAGCAACGCAGTCAACTTTTGTGTCAACAAAACCTGAACCTCAAGTGACATCTGTCTCTCATGAAAGAGCAGAAAGGCCCATCATTGAATTTCCACCACCTCCTGCAGCTTCACCACCAGCCCTGCCACCTGATACTTTACCTAATCCAGCTGTTAGTCAACATTCATTTCCCATTCTCTCATCTGTCAGGGCTACTCCTTCTGAGTCTCTTACAAGTATGGCCAGTGCAGCACCAAGTGCAATAGTAAAACAAACTGTAGCCCCAGTACATAAACCACCACCTCCAGTTCCACCCAAACCAGTTTGTATACCAGCTGGTCTAGTGTTTAGCCACAGGTCAAGAGAGAGTGTAAAGCCACCAGTTGTTCCTGAACCCACAGTTGCTCAAACCGGTCGAGCTGCAACATTACCAAGAACAAGAGAACCCCCCAATGCCCTTTCGCTCAGTTTGACTGCCCCTGTTGATAGTAAACACAGCATTTCATCACCAAAATCACCCTTGTCACCTCGGTTTGCTAAAACTCTTGAGACATACGTGGTGATAACATTGCCATCAGAACCAGGGTCACCGGTAGAAGGAATTACAACCCAAGCTCCAATACGAAGATCATCTCTACCAACTCCTAAGCAACAGGCTCCTGCTGTTGCACCGAGAGTGTTTTCCCCACCTGCAGTATCTGCACCACTTACTGTAGTTCCAGCACCAGTAGTAGCTGCACCACCAAAAGTAATATCAGCCCCAATGGTGACACCACCACATGTGATGGTTCCAGTACAAACTGTGCATGTCTCACCAGTTGTAGCAGTGCCACCAGAGACTGGCCCAATTGTTTCAGTATCAAAAGCAGTAGCACCAGTACTGGCATATGTGCCACAACCAGGGACTGTTGGGCCACCAATCATGAGGGAAATGATGATTACTGCTACACCACCTGTGACCACAACGGTATACACTGCACCAATAGTAGTTTCAGCACCAACTGTGACATCACCACATGCATTTTTTGCAACACCAAATGTGGCTGAAGTACCAGCTGTCACCGCAGAACCAACAATAAATACTGTGTCAACAGTGATCTCTGCACCAACAGTGTATGCTACACCTCCTATTGCAGCACCATTAGCCATGGTTTCTGAATCAGTGCTACCTGCAACACTACTGACAGAAGCAACTATAGAGTTGAAACCAGCAGCCTTTACAGGATCTCCTACCCCAACACCTGCAATGGAACCGATGGTTCCTGTTGATGTAATGCAAGAGCCTGAAAGACAACCCATGCAAACAGTTTGCTCTGCTCCTATAACAATTACCCAACTCCCATTATCCACAGATAGTCAGACTGTACAAGGGTTGGAGATGGAGGAAGTATTAATTGTGTCTGCTTCAGAAGAGGCTATATCTGCAATAGGTCCATCATCAGTTGCGGTAACACAAATTCAGCAACACCAAACAATTTTCGAACCACAACAAGAGGAACCAGCAGTCTATGCTGCAACAGTTATGCCAACTGTGCCAGTAACATTTACCCAGTTCACAAAGTCAGTAGAGAGTCAAGAAATAAGAGGGCCTGATAAAGTTGTGTCAAGTATGAGCCAGGTGTATTCTGCAATTTCAAAAACGGAACAGCATCCTGATACCATACCTAATGTTGTTACCCAGGTTGTCACAACTGAAGTCCAGAGGACTACTACTGTGTCAGTTGTCCAAGAAAGAATACCTGTAGAACCTGTGCCAGACCATGCCAGTATGACAGTCATAGTCCAGCCAGAAATGACAAAAACACAAACAAAGCCTATACAGAATGGAAAGATGCACTATCCTGGTGATGTCATAGATCTCACAACATTGAAGGTCAATGTTACAATGACTGACAAAGGAATGGATCTGACAGCCCCTGAGTCAAGTCGACAGTCCTTCTCAAGTGATTCAAGTGGTCGACAGACAACTGCCGTGCAGCCAGAAATTGTAAATTTAAGTGCTGAGATAACTCCTGCTACAACACTGTCTGTTGTGACAGATAATATCACAATTGTTACCTGCACTGCTACAATTACATACAAGGATAACATGGTTGATAAGCCCCTCAACTTAGAAAGTGCCACTTCAATGCCTCTGTCTCTTACAAGTTATAAACCTTACGAGCCACTGGCACAAATAGTATACAGACCAGTAAATTCACAACCAAAACCCACAACCAGTACAGAGATCCCCATCAACCTATCTTGTGGGACTACTGAAACAACTGCACCTTCTTTACCTGTGGCCCCAGTAACCTGTACAAAGGCTGGTGTACCTATTCATACTGAGCCATCAGCTGTTGAAGCTATAGATCTAACTACATCAAAGCCAATGAAAGCCATGGTGGCTCTGTCTTCTTCCTCTGGCGTAGTTACAACTGTTGTTGAGGACGATGTAGCACCTGTAGATTTGACAGCAGGTAGGAGAACAGTGTGCTGTGATGTCCTGTATAGGCTTCCATTCACAGGCAGCTGTAGAACACAGCCTCCAGTGACCACACAACCAGATAACCAATTGGGTTTTAAAGATGATCACTATGAGTACGATAATGCCACAGCCCTTGGAATTAAAGACCTCAGTAAAATGGTGGTCTCTATGTCGGACATGGAAACTGGGCTGTTCCCTTATGAGAACAAGAATGGATTTGCCTACCAGAATGGGGCATCAGATGGGGCAATTGATTTGACATCAGCAAAAATGTCAACAGGTCAGTATTTTGTTATTTTCACCATTCTTTCTTTGTGTAAATGCATAATGTTGTTTTTCTATTTTTTTTTTTCAGTCACTGATAATTTTCATTCATTTGCCTTTTCTTCTTTTTTTACACAGATGCATGCATGTGCCTTCGTGTTCTCCCTCAATGTTTTGGCTTTGCGTCGTGCTAGTGTGACAAGAATCACAAGATTTTTGCATGCTCTCTGGTTTCCTTTGTGTAGTCCTTTTGTCAGAAACTGCATGGCCTCAGTATACAGTGCATGCAGAACTAGCTGATTTATTTGACTAAAGTGTACATTTTCCAATCACTACAGATGAAGCCCTGGACTACTCAAAGAAAGGCACGTTGTCATTTTCCACCACTCAAGGAACATCCTTTGGGCTAAATAGTGTACTAAGATCATCTAATGGAGTTGTATACTCATCTATTTCTGCACCCATTCCATCCACATATGCAATTACAACTCAGCCAGGCTCAATATTCAGTACAACATACAACAGTCTCAGCAGTATAACTGAGCCATTTTCAACACTTCAGAACCAGCCTTCACCATATGATTTCATACACACCACTGGAACCAACCAGTCAATATTTATGGACTCTGATCCATCCAAGGATATCCTGCCTTCTGCCTTAGCCAACCTCCTTCCTTCATTAACAGCCTTCCCAGAACTGTATTCTGACGCTACCCTTGAGGCCATAGCAGCCTCACTGGATGCCCTGGTCTCCCCAAATTTCCCTGCCTTGGATGACAGTAAGAGCCAGCAGTATCAGGCTGAGCGTGAGTTTTTGCAGTTAGAGAAGCTGAAGCAGCTGTGTCTTGCTGAGGAGCTTGAATGGGAAAGGCAGGAGATACAGCGCTACCGTGAGCAAGAACAGCTTATTGTCCAAAAGGAATTAGAAGAACTTCAGAGCATGAAACATCAGCTCTTAATGCAGCAGGAGGAAGAACGCAAGGCCCATTTCATTCTTCAACAGGAGACCTTTGCCCAGCAGCAATTACAACTTGAGCAAATCCACCAGCTACAGCAACAACTACAGCAACAGCTAGAAGAGCAGAAAGTATATCCATATGGTTTTGAGCCAAACGAAGAGATGTCTCAACCCAGTGGCTCAGGCATCATTTTAGATGCCCAGTACTCTAAAGCAGATAATGGCCAGTACTGGCCCGTGAAGGATGACAATTCTACATCATCGGCAGTGACTGTCCATGACCCTTTAACTGGTGGGGATTGGTACACTGCTGGTAGTTTAACCTTACCTAAATTAGAAGGTGTTCTTAAAGATTCAGAGAATTCTAAGAAACTGCCCTCCACAGCAAAGCAAGCCAATGAGGAAAGTGTAGGGTTAAGTGGTAAGAAAATAGCAGAAAGTGGAGTTCAGACAGATGAGGAGGATGAGGTGGAAAAGCCTTACCCTGGCCGGAGAAGGAGGAGTAGGAGAAGTGTAGATAGTTGTATGCAAACTGATGATGAGGATCAGGATGAATGGGATGTCCCTGTTAGGAGCAGGCGGAGGTCTCGCTCAAGCAGATATGCTGATGGTGAACGAGGTAAAGGCTCAAAAGTATCCAGCATTGCAGTCCAAACTGTGGCTGAGATCTCTGTTCAGACCGATCATTCAGGAACCATAAAGAGGTCCCCTGTCAGGGCTCAAATAGATACCACAGTAGACCTACACCGAGGAGGGCAAACAGAAAGTGACTCAGATGTTACATCTGACAAAGATAAGAGACACTCAACTCCCATTGAAATTGGTGTCAGCACGCATCTAAAAGCAGATGGTGTTGGGATCTCATCAGTACCCAAATCTCCGAAGGTATTGTATTCTCCAGTTTCACCTGTGTCTCCTGCAAAGGGCTCACAGAAGATGCTAACAGCTGAACCATCAAGACAACCAAGTAGCCCTAGATCCCTGAAGGCCTCACAACGATCTCTGTCTGACCCCAAGTCTCTGAGTCCCACCACCGATGACAGAATCATGTACCAGTATGCAGACACCTATTCTGTAAGTATTACTGAAATTAATTTTGAAAAGTTATAACTTTACTGTTTTCATTATTGATAATATGTCTGCTTCTGCATTGATAGTTTGCATGAAGGGCTACTTTTAGAGTATAGCTTTTAACAAGTTCTCTTTTGTGAAATTCAGATTTACATTTCACAGCAGATGAACTGAACCTGATTAATAAAACATTTTAGATAAAATAAAGAAATATAAAGTTTTCAGAATAAACAAAAAACAAATATGTTTTTCATCTGCAGAGCAAGAGCTCACAGAGTGGTACCCCTGTAGGCTCTCAGAAGAAAGTAAAGCGCACTCTTCCCCATCCACCACCAGAAGAGGATACTATTGTTGGCCCTTCTGGATACTGTACTGGATCTGCTCGAAGAAGAATGTGCAGGAACACCACCATGGCTCGAGCCAAAATCCTACAAGATATTGACAAAGAACTGGATTTGGTAGAGAGAGAGTCTTCTAAACTTCGTAAGAAGCAAGCAGAGCTAGATGAGGAGGAGAAAGAGATAGATGCCAAACTGAGATATCTTGAGATGGGCATTAATCGAAGGAAGGAGGCTTTACTGAAAGAGAGAGAGAAGAGGGAGAGGGCTTACTTGCAAGGTGTAGCTGAGGAGCGTGACTATATGTCCGATAGTGAGGTCAGCAACATTAGAGAAGCACGAGGTAATGGCCTTGGACTAGAGCGGCCACGAACTGCCCCTCAGTCGGAGTTCAACCAGTTCATCCCACCACAGACTGAAGCTGATTCTCAGTACGCACAACTTGGAAGCCCATACTCCCACTATCAGTATGCCTCTCAAACTGGGACACCAAGTCATTTTTCCCAGCAGAACCTGTACCAACAGCAATCCCTTTATCACCAACAAGTGTCCCCCTACCAGACCCAGTCAATGTACTCATCAGTGCCTACACTCAATCAACAATCCCAACAAACTGGTTATGACCATGCCTCACAGCTCCTTTTGATGCAACAGAAAAGCCGCCAGACTACACTGTCTGACTTGGAGCCAAAGATAACAACAAACTATGAGGTGATACGGAATCAGCCTCTCTTGATTGTTCCCACATCTACAGAGAGTGCCTATGGTGTCTCACATCTTGGGGGTAAATATGGTAACCTAGACTTGAGAATGGGTCTGGAAGAAAGAGGCAGTATGGCAAGCAGCCCCATGTCCAGCATATCAGCAGAGTCATTCTATGCAGACATTGACCATCACAATGCCAGAAACTATGTTATGATCGATGACATAGGGGAGCTGACCAAGGGCTCTGCAGGACTGAGCTCCAGCTTCAATATCCCTGATAAAGATATGAGTAAGACCGACCGCTTGCTCAGGGCTGCTGAAGTTCGTCGGACAGCAGATGTGACTGACTTCCTTGCACCTCTTCAAGCTGCCTCCAGACTGCATTCATACGGTAAGCCAGATGAGGACTCAATGGAGGAGCCGTACGAGTTAAAACTGCTAAAGCAGCAAATCAAGCAAGAGTTCAGGAGGGGCACAGATGGCTTGGAACAACTCACAGGTCTGCCTCATTACCTCCATGCTGACAGTTTCAGACATTTCCCTAAGTCTGAGAAATATAGCATTGGAAGGCTCACTTTAGAAAAACAAGCAGCTAAACAGCTTCCAGCCTCAGTTCTATATCAGAAACAGTTAAAGAATAAGAGAGCACTAATTGACCCTAAAATTACAAAATTTTCCCCCATACAAGAGAGCAGGGACCTGGAACCTGATTACAGTGGGTTTTTGGCATCCACTGGCTCAGCAGTGGGTGGACTGTCCAGCAGGGCGAGGCTCCTACAGGATGAAATCACTTTTGGTCTGAGGAAGAACATAGCTGAGCAGCAGAAGTACCTGGGCTCCACACTAAGCACTAACCTGACTCAGTCACTGACCCTTGGTCAGTCTCTTAATCTTGGCCCCGCCTTGAGATCATCCCTTCAAGACGATGGCACTTACCCCAGTGGTACCCGGTCCAGACCTTCTTCAAGGCCTTCCTCTGTGTATGGACTTGATTTATCCATCAAAAGAGACCTTTCCAGTTCTTCACTAAGGTTAAAGACAGAGGGTGAAAGCATGGATTCCCAGTTTGGCGTGGCAAGGGCAAAGCCGACTAGTCTGCCCATCAGCCAGAGCAGGGGCCGTATCCCAATTGTGGCACAGAACTCAGAAGAAGAGAGTCCACTGAGCCCTGTGGGGCAACCCATGGGTATGGCAAGGGCATCTGCAGGTCCACTTCCACCTATCTCTGCTGACTCTCGGGATCAGTTTGGTTCCAGTCACTCTTTACCAGAAGTACAGCAGCATATGAGAGAAGAATCACGAACGCGCGGCTATGATCGAGATATAGCCTTCATTATGGATGATCTACAGGGAGCTATGTCAGACAGCGAAGGTAAATTTGCTCGGAGACTTACTTTGAACACAGCCTTGATTGACATGTGTCTCATGCATGACCCTGATTGTGTGCATATACATGTGTGTAAGTTCTAATTTTTCACACCTGTTTGTCTTTCTGTAATTATTTTCTTGCACTTGTTTAGAAGTACATAGTGCATTGTTGTACATGTGCATGATAGTCTCTTCATTTTCAGTTTCTTTTAGTCTTATACATAATATATTAATATGTATAAAAATTTTCATATTTAAATGCTTAGTCACTGTTTTAGTTCTTTTGCATGCTACTCACATTGCTTATTTTGCTGAACACTTTCCTCTCTCGTTCAAGTAGTTGCTTATAACAAGTATGCAAATAGGGTTCTGTCTTTTATATAAAATGGTCATCAGTCATTTTCTGTGATTGTATACCAGGTGCCTCCATAAATCCTCAGGGATATGTAGAGTGTTCAGAAGGGAATGCTTTCTGCTTATAATATAATATTCCATTGCAGTACTAAAATGAGAATGTAGATACTGTAGTTAAGGTAGATGTTGTAATAATTAAACAGCACTTAGCACTTACTTTGGAGATCTGCTTAAAAAATGTGTCGACATGTTATGAAAAGGCATACTGTATAGTCATTTAAACAACTCTGGAATTCATATCAGCCAATTTTGTTTAGTTTCAGTTGTCTCTCTAGGATAGTATAAGAAAATGTGTATTCAGTTTTGGTATGCCTCATCTTGGCTAGCTGGCATTAAGTACATGCTAACACAATGGTGTAAATTAAGCCTGTCACCACTTCTCCTGGTCAGTTATCATCTATCTATCACTAATATGATAATCAGGTATGGCCTGAAAAAGGTTTGAAAACATAAATAACAATTTGTGACATAGTAAAAAAATGTAATGATAATAAACATTTCAATGTCAAATGTTTTGGAGGCACTACATGCAGTTTCCTAATAAATTACTGTTTGAAGTTATCTGCACTTTAATTATTCCTTTCAATGCATGTTAATGCTTTCCAGACACTGATTAAGCTTAATCTAAAGATTGACTTCTAGTTGAGAATTCCAGTAGACAGTGTAATTTCATCAAAACTAAGCTTACAGTGTTCCTGGAAAACAGTCCATAATTTTTGAACAGTGATAAAAGTGCTTGCTATTTACTGCATGGCTTTTTGAGTGATCATTAAACTGAATGTTGTGTTGGGACTGCAGTTTGTCTTGGAACTATATTTTATTCTCTGCATGTGAGTTTCTACAGTACATATTATTGTACATGATGCCTCTTGATGTTTAAGTGCACTTCAGTTATAACATTTAGGTCAGGAACAGTGTACTATGTAAATAATTGTTTTAGTTAATCCTTCAGTGTACAGTGTCATTGATTTGCTGTATTTCTTAAAAGGACAGTTGAGTAAAATTTTCCTCAGTGGGAAGCTATGCAGGGATTTGTCAATGAAACTGCTGTGCAGTCTAGAGCTAAGTGAAGTCTGTGTCTCACGTACTGGCCCTTAACTCTGAAGGAGTTCATTTAACTGTAGTTGTAGTACTTACTGTATCAGAGTTGGATTTATTTAGCCATAAGATATAGTCCTGGAGCATGAAATACTGTCAGCATTACATTATACAGATCTACCCAAAGCAGTTTTAAGAATGTGAATATGCTTTGGTTTGCAGCACTAAATGAGCCCATGATGGTTTTGCACAGAAGTGACCCCAGGCTCCTCCATGAGGGTATCAGACACGGTAGAATATCATTGTAGTTGTATTCTATAAATCAACCATTTACCTGCTTAAATGTTGAATGCAACTATAACACCGTCTGTCACCGCTAACACCATTAGCCTATTTAAAAATGCCCAAAACCACTCATCATTTCAGCAAACTAATATTGACAGCCAATTAACTAACATATAATATCTGTACCTCTTTGAAAAACTTTAGGGATGTATCAGTTTGGCAGCTATAGTAAACATTCCAATGTTTCAAAGAAGGCTGTTTTTACATACATTATAGCAAAAGGGGCTGGCATGAATTAATTGAACAGTTGGGTTTACTTGTCTTTGCCTTAATTGTTAGCATAAATTGTGGTGTATTTTTACTACGAGTGTGCTATAAAGTTGCTTTGTACTGTTAAGAGACATCAAAATTTAGCTGTGCAATCTGTCTGTAGTATCTTTATATGACCTGCAGTTGATTGATTTATCAATCAATTTTCTGCAAAACATACAACTTTGAGTTATGCAGTCATGCCAGCTCTAATAAAAAAACATTTAACATCCTGGCAGGATGCTGCTGGGTGCACTGGCCCTTTGCATTCAGTATCACTGCATGTGTACAAAAGGAACCGAACAGTACAGTACTGTCAAAGTATGTGTACTATGCTATCACATAGGTAGTCTTTACTGTGGGTAAACAACCATTTCAAAACAGCCTTATCTAAAGCTGTTGCAGTTTTTTTGTACAAAACCACTGAAATGCAATGTTTACATCACAGCAGGACGTCCTAGCTGGAAGGTAGAAGGTGAGAGTTATTGCACAATGGCATTCAAAATCCCATTAAACATAAATCAACTCGTCCCATGCGTGCCATAGTCTTGACTGATGGGCATATCTCTGTGGTGCACCTCAGCCCCATCCCTGATTCATGTTCATATACTGCACTAGGTAACTCACATGACCTGATCATATCCACAAGGACACATGCATATCTACATGCCTACATATGTGTTTTACCATGATAATGGCATGTTGGAACGCCAGATCTCGGTGTGTTGAGGTTTCAGTTCAGTCCATCGAAGGGTCATAAGTTCACAGCATGATCAATGCATCCTCACACAAGTGAAGGAGTGAACATACTGCAGGTTTAGTATGACTCAGTAAGGTTCTTTATTATAAGACAGACTGCTCTCATCTCAGGCCACTTGGCTTGAATTCAAGAAATAACTGACCATAGTTGAAACTTTGCAGAGGTGGGTAGAGGAACCTAAATCCATACACAATAAAAGAAGTTTTATTACTTCAGTAAAATAATGACTCAAGTAGAAGTGTTTTTCCAAAAAACAGCTTGAGTAGAAGTACAAAAAGTATCAGGTCCAAAAACGTATGCAAACTTAAGTACTGAGCAGCGGATGTTCAGCCACATCTGTCACCACAAGAACTGAAGTTTGTTAGACGCTGTTCCTCATTTGATATAGATGCTCTAAAATAATGAAACCTTAAAAGTCAGAGGTGTGACTGCTCACAAATTACCACAAGTGGTGTCTCCAAAGTACATAACCTAAAGAAATTGGTAGCTAAAAGTTAACAATTAAAATGTAACAAAATAAAAAGCAGATTACTTTCCTCACAAATGTAATTGAGTAATAATGAAAGTAGTGGCGAAAGTTTCAGTGTTTCATTTCAATTTGGCAACATGTGTAGCCATTAGACAGAGCCTTAACAGACGGAGTGCTCAGAGAAAGAAGCGCAATGACGAGGAGAGAGGGTGCTTAATCTACTTAAATCAAATCAAATGCCTTTAGAGCAGGCATGTCAAACTGGGGACTCTGCAGAGATTTGCATTTCCCCTCATCTAACGCTCTGAATTCAGTTCATGATGGCCTTGTTAATTAGCTGAAGAGCTGAATCAGGTGTGCCCAGAAGGACTGGAGCCTGACACGTGCTTTAGAGTTAGACTCAACTGGACATTTTAACATCTGGCTGGCAGTACCAACCAGGCACCGCACAACAGAGCTCAAAACCGGACACCTGGCAACCCTAGATAGACATACTTGGGTGCCACGCGCTTTTTTCTAGATTTAATGATGTAAATAAGTCTGCTAGACCTACTAAACTAGATAACTAGCTATTGCTAACAAGTCTACAGCATCTCTTTGATCCAGGAGAGAGCTACAGGAAGGTAAGAAGCTGGCAGTGTCTTATATTATCACAGATTGTCTACTTAGTTTACCTCACCTTTAAACATCCTTGACAAGCTTGAACATTAGAGAAATGGTGCTGCTCAGCCTGATACAGTACAAGATCATGAAAGCTGCTGACTGTGTACAGACTGCATTTCCCATGAGTCCGAGCAAAAGGATGGAAAGACGTTGCCTTTTGGTCAGATGTAACAATCAAAAGCAAGCACAACACACTCTTACAAAGCAAAGTTCGGGCGTGTTGAGAGTGAAGTTTGCCTAGGTTTGAAAATAACTATTTCTATGAAAGTACAAATTCATTAGAGTTTTTGTTCAGTGCACGTGTTGGACAAAATGTACCTAATTACTACCAGAGACTTTATAAAAGGACCTTTTATAAAATTGTTATTTCCAGTCCTAAAATCTGTATTGGGGGAGTAAGAACTCTTTTTGTTTGGTTGGCTGACAACCTAATTTCTTAACTAGAACTTGGCTGGTCAGCTAGCGAACAGGCTAAAAGATAGCCAACAGCCTAAACAACTCCATCATTAATATCACAGGCCTGAAATAAAGAACTTACGATATGACTAAGTGTAAAACTGCAATACAAACAGACAGGTGAATCCTAAACGGCTCTGTACACTCTAAATAGTGTGCAATAGAGGTTTTAAAATTCTACTGCACTATTTGTCGAGTAAGGATGCACTTTTGGGATACAGGAGCCAGTATTTAAATTCCTATGTAGTGCACTATGTAGGGAGCAGGGAACCATTTGGGATTCAGCTCCAGCACAAGAAGAGGGGCGCAGTTAGCTTGGCGCTAAATAAGACTTGCGCTTCTTCTCCCCATTCAGCAATCCATGGTTGCTTGGCTATGAATGATTGAACCATACTCTGAAGGAACTACGTTTCTTGGCATACAATACATGTTTATGTCGATTATTATTAATAATTTTATGCTGGCCGCTGTTTTATGAAAGGGGGGTTTAGAAAACCATTCCCTGTGATAAAATTGCAGTAAGTTAGCGCAGCGTCTCATGGTTTATTGCTTTAATTACTAGCTACCCACCTCTGAAACCAGGGTTTGCCACCTGCAGCTTATATAGTGGAGAACGGGGCACAGACTAACACATTGTTTTTTGCTAAATAATTTTAAAAATATTTGAGAGAGATTTTTATTTTGTACAAGCAAAGTGCAAATCTTTGCTGAAATTGAAAAAATGAACTTTGTTTCTAACAACCTGTCATTTAGGAATAATTCAGCCAAAAGCAGAGTGAGTGTAAATGTTACAACTTTTTTGGGTGTTGACAGAGTTGGATGTAACAGAACACGTGTTTAGAATACAGAAATTAATCTGTATTCAGTCGAAGTTACATTTTGTAAAGGCAGTATTCAGTTACCTTTTTTTAAGAGAATACTTTTAGAGTACTTACTAAATTAAAAATAAATCTTCAAAAGAAACTCGATTAGTGCTTGTTTATGAATTATTTTAGAATCAACATGTAGCAAACATGCTTGTTAGAAGAATTCTAAAGACCTCAATTAACAGCTGTTTTGCAAACACTGAAGTTCCTGCTAAAGCCTAAGTAGACTGATAAATCTATGTAACAGGCCAGTTATTAATCTCAGCGTTACTGAGCTCTTTTGAGGGATGATGAAACTAATAAACTTTCCAGTACTGGACATGTTTGCAAGTGGTAGGTTTAGCAACAGTGTTGTACTAGACTTCTGCTGGGGGGGATTGTGGGAGCAGCAGCAGACTGGAGCAGGCACAGAGAGAGGAAAAAAGTTTTACTATTTTTTAAATGATAAGGATTTTTTCATAAAACATTTTAACAGAATACTTACATGAAGAAAACTGCCAAATAACAGTGAGGAACAGTGTGAATTAAGTGAAGAAAATGTTTTTCCCATCTGCCTTACCAAGATGTATTCTAAATATTTTCTGAATGTGTTACTTTTTATGTACTGTAACAGAACACATTTAAGAAGTGTGTTCACATACATATAAATTAATGATTAATAAAAAAGCTCTGTAAAATACAGTGCATTTATGTTTACATGTAGTGTGCAGTATGAATCTTCCAGACTGTACTGTTATGAACTATATGAGGAAATACAGACTTCTCTAATTGTTTACTTTACGAGGCCTAATTGAAACAGAGGTTTAAAACTAAGCCCAACGTGTGGAGGCTGTGAGTTATTTATCTGCTTTAATGCTTCACACTGGTGCTGTAACAGCCTCCAAGAGAGCAATAAAAATGATACAGGTGTGAATTCTGTGAACTCAGTAATAATGGGAAAAAAAAGCCTGCACAATGGAAAGTGTTGCTTTTATGGTACAAAACGGTCTTCAAAGTGAATTTTGAGAAATATTTGTCTAAATGCTGTCAAAATCCACAGATGCCATGGGAAATACAAATAGATGACCAAGTGCACATTCTACTTGAATCTGTTCAACTACATAAAATATTGATTTTACCCCATGTCAGGTTGTGCCCCGCTCTCCCTTATGACAAGATATATCAGATATGCAGCAATTACATAATAACAATAATAGTTTATCTGTCAGTTTAACGATTATCAGCTGTTATCTGACTTTAAACACCTGACATGTGTCTGGTTTTATGGGCTAGAATGATTTTCACAAACTGTCTTTATAGAAGTGAACAAGCAGTTACATGATAAATTTGGTGTAATGTAGGTAGTGGAGTGTGAAAGAGGCACTTCTGCAGTGATGTAGTGCTGTAGAGTGTTTTGTTCTTTAACAGCATTGTGCTCATTAGCTGTACAGTAAAAGGCCAGCACACAGTGTTGATGAGACACTGGAGCTTATCAGTGTTAATCTAGTGAAGTGTGGATAAGGCATCTCATTCTCGTTGTTTGTGTGTCTGCCGTGGTTTGAAGCCACAGCAGCTCTCTGTCCCACTATCAGCGCATGATGTGTGGACAAGCCCTGTGTGAGAAACACAGTTTGCATGCAAAGACACGCCTGCCCTGTACATATACCTTTGCTTGTGTCTCAGTCCATTGCTCTTATGACCCACACCTCTTACCATGACTGTTCCTTGTAAGGTTAGCCCACCTGGTTGAATTATCACCTAACAAGTGCTGCTGCGAAGGCCAGCACCAGCTTTTAAACCACATCCACCTAGAATAAACCTCTTAATAGTCTTCTCAGAGGTGGTAAGGAGGGGTGGAGAAAAGCAGACGGAATGGGACACAGATCCAAATTTAATCAGTTTAGTGGTACAATTGTTACTCTCCTCTCCCTTGAAGCCTACCATCTGCAACATGAAGAGACTGACTGGTTTGATAAACCTCGTGAGGGCCGTGGTGGACCACAATCAGGGCAGGACAGGAGACAGGTGAGGTGTTACAATCATACATACAGTAAAAACCACAGGGCTGAGTTAAGTCCTACATTCAAGATGAATTCAGAATGAAGGATGTTTAGACTGAAATGACTTTTGTTACAGTTACAGTCAAGGTTTGTAAAGAGGACTTTACATCACGTCAAATGTGACTCTCATAACAAATGCATAGGTTTCTATTCAGTACCTATAAAAAATTGGAATATATTGAAAATGCAATACAACATATGTGACAACATATTCCAAATTACACAGTTTTTATATGGGTAGTGAAGATGACACAACTGTTTCACCTGTGTTCTTTCTATTGTATATATGTAATTATACAATACATTTTTCATAATAAGTGTATCGTTCTGCTGAACAGACTGCCAAGTAATGATTTGCCTCACTGCAGCTAACTGTTGCTATGTTTCTACTTTAGCACGTACAAAAACAGAAAAATGATAGATAACTTTTAAGATAATATTTGACCTGCAGCCCATTTAGTGAGGACCCGTTTAATAAACAACTGTTATTATCTGTCATTGTTGTTTTACGTTTATTGCTGGTCAATGTTAGACTTTTGTAAATGTATATATAAAATAATGTTTTTTGGGTGACACTTTATTTTGAGTGGTCCTTTTAGATGAAACAAACACAAAATGGATTCTCAAAACATATGAGGGCTGGGATTAGGTTTTGGGTTGAGGTTAAGGTTAGGGTTAGGATTAGGGCCGGGGTTAGGGTTAGGTTTTGTGTAATGTTGGGTAAGGTTAATGAAGTAACATATCAAGTAATGTATCAACAGCACGTCTGCAAGATATTTACTTCAATGTATTTAGATGATTCACTATCGCAACTTCACGGACATGTTGTTGATGTGTTACTGATTATCTGTTAAGAGTTTATAAATCATCTACAAAGGACCACTCCAAATGAAGAGGTACTGTATTTGATACTCACTTCATTAGCATTTTGATTTTGTATGCTGTGTTGCAGGTGAAAGCTGTACATTATCCTTTCCCCCACACTCGCATCAAACTGCAGAGGGACCCTAAAGACCACACTGTCTCAGGTATACTTTACACTATTCTTTGTACTCAGTTTTCAATAGCTACAACTTAGTGCTAAGACCTAAAATTATAAATCGGATGCACAGATTGAGACACAACCGTCTGCTGTTGCTTTGCCAAACACAGCAACAATAGAAATGAGAAAATAACAGAACAGAAAACTGTACACTTACTAGTTTTCTATCCTGATTACATAATACTGTTACATGTTACTACCAAAGTCTGACTGTTAAATTATGCAGAAATGTTGAACTATTAGCAGACTTCCCTATAAAACCACGATCTAGTGAGTAGCCTTTGAAGTATATTTTGTCAATGTGTCATACATCCAAAACGCAAAACTATTAACAAGCTGTTTGCATGCCATGTTTAGGGAGCGGGTTGGGCATCCGAGTGGTGGGAGGAAAGGAGATTCCGGGTTCTAATGGAGAGATTGGAGCATACATCGCTAAAGTGTCGGCCGGAGGCTTTGCTGAGCGGACAGGGAAGGTTGTAGAAGGTGAGATTTTTACATTAATGTGACGGCCATGGCTGAGGGAAAAAGACCAGGACCAGTGCTCCTCATAATAGCTGTTCAGTTGTTCTTTTTGGTTCTTTTATATATCAACTGCAGTGCCTTGTGTAATTATTATAATAGCACACTTTGACAAACATTATTGGCCCCATTTCAGGCAGATGTAGCTTTAAGCAGGCAATTCTCGTTTCTGACTAGTGTGCACTATGGCTGTGCTGTCCCCATGGACTGTAGCTAACTCAGCATCTCCTGTCACTCTAGATAAGCCCGTCTCATAGATACGGAGCTGAACTGAGCATGCTATGGCCTTTGGGACAGTGATGGAGAGCCCTTGGTGCTTGGGTTATTATTTTAGAGGCTTATCAACACCAAGAGTCACCTTTAATGCTATCATTTTCATCATAAGATTACAGAGCTAAAGTATTTTTTCCGCAACAGTGAATAAATGCAATAATGTTTTCTTATCTACAAAAATGATTGCATGTTTAGTTGCTGTTAAGATCCGCATACTGTTAAGACCTGCAAGGCTTTTAATATACTCTCCATTTAATGCACAGCATTTTGATATGTTATTTTGTCTTTGCAGTATTTGAGCTCTGATGTGTTTTAGATTACTGAAGCATGTGGTGTTCATCTTTAAAGTCATTTCCCCTGTTGTAATGTGATAGCACCTCCTGCAGTAAAGGCATCAGACTACAGGTCAACCCACTGATATTAGTATAAGGGAGAGGAAAAAACAAAAAATCAGTTGTGCTCATTGCTTAGGACTCTCCCAAAATACATGTAGGGGAAATTCATATTTAATTTGTTCCACCTGATTTTGAAGACATAATGTAACTCATTCTTTAGAGCAGTGAAACATTTTGTCTGAATTGCCATGAAGGGCCAAGGGCCAGTAGTTTAGACCATGGCAGACATGTGAATGATGTTCTTCTGTGTCTTAGCTCCTGAACAGCTTCGTAAGCAAAAGGCCTATCTGAAGACTCACTTTCATTTATGTAAGTGCTGAGGAGTTGGCCCTGGGAGTGCTTTGCAGTGTTTCTTTCTCAGCTCTTTTTCTTTCACTCATTTATTTGTCTGTGTTCTTTCCTGGCGCACACTTTCCTCTAATTGAATAGGGTGTCTTTTTAGGGAGGCCAATTTAAAAGGAATGCAATTGCTGTGTGTATGTGTGCTCCTTTGTTCTAGATGATGGACAGTTTTTTTTCTTGTCTCTTTGCATTTTTAAATTGCTAAATGCTACGTTTCAAGAAAGTGTTTAATATCCACTGTCAGCAAAGTTCGTCTAAAGGGTTTATAAGGTTCTATAAATGGATACACATAGTTTTGGTGTGACATTTCAGCACTTAGGACCACAGGCAGAGGTGGGTAACATGACGCAAATAAAATATACTTGAAGACATTTTCTATAATGCATGTTATGTATCGCAATATTAAGCTTTTCTGGAACCTGTAGTGCCACATATAAAAAAATGCACAGTGTTTTACTACACATGACTACATCCAATTAAACTGGACCATTTATGCTCTTTTGGGGTGCACACTCAAAAACAAGAACTGACACAAACAGGAACCGACAGAACTTGCAGTTCTAGTTGTAGTTCATTTTCCACGTGCTTAGACAGCTGGAACTGTCATCATAACTGAGCTTTACAATTTCATTGTCTTTTTGGTCATTTTATGAAGGGTCATCCCTATGTTCCTAGGGCCTTACAGTGCTGTAAAAAAGTATTTGCCCCTCACACAATTTCTTCTATTTTTGCTAATTTGTCACATTTAAATGTTTCAGATCATTCAACTAATTTCAATATAAGATAAAGAAGAGTAAATAAAAATGCAGCTTTTAAATGATCATTTTATTTACTGAAGATAAAGATTTATTCAAAACTTAAATCACCCATGTGAAGGAGTAGTTGCCCGCTCTTCGTCGCAAAATTGATTTAATTCAGTGGAGTGTTTTCTAGAATGAACTGCCCATTTAAGTTCAAATTCAAGTTAGGTCTTAGACTCAGCCACTCCAAAACTCGCTTGCATGTGTGCTTCAGATCATTGTCCGTCTGCATAACCCAAATGCACTTGAGCTGTAGGTAACATACTGACGGGGGGGACATTCTCCGTCAGAATTTTGATAGAGAACAGAATTCATGGTTCCATCTATTATGACATACCATGTTTAACCTTAATTGGTTGCATCAATTATGACATACCATGTTTGACTGTTGGTATGATGTTCTTATGGTGGAATGCGATGTTAGCTTACGCCAGATGCAATGAGATCCATGTCTTTCAAAATGTTTTGACTCGTCAGTCCACAGAAAATTATCCCAAAAAGTCTTGGGGGTCATGTAGATGTTTTTTTGGCAAATGCGAGATGAGTCCTGCAGTTTTTTAGAAGTTCATCTGGGTTTTTTGTGACCTCCTGCATGAGTCGTCAGTGCACTCTTGGTGAAATTTTGATAGGCCAGCCACTTCTAGGAAGGTTCACCACTGTTCCATGTTTTCTCTGTTTGTGGATAATGTCTCTCACCATGTTTCGCTGGAGTCCCAGAGCCTTAGCCATGGCTCTGTGAACCTTCCCAAGCTGATAGATTTCAGTGACTTTGTTTCACATCTGTATTTGAATCTCTTTAGAACGTGGCATCATGTGCTGCTTTTTCTAGCCTGCTTCACATTGCCAGACAGGTTCTATTTAAGAGATGTTTAGATTCAGTAGGTCTGGCAGTAATCACGCCTGAGTGTGGATAGTGAAACTAAACCCAATAGTCAAATTTAGTTAACTGGTTGATTTAGTAGCTGGGGGGCTTTTTCACATAGAGCCCAGTAGGGCTGAACAGCATTTTTCCTTCAGTGAATGAAATCATCACTTAAAAAAAGTATTTTGTGTCCATATTGGTTGTCTTTGTCTAATATTAAAAGTAATTTGATGATATGAAACATTCAAGTGTGACAAAAATCCAGAAAATAGAAGTTATTGGGAAGGGGGCAATACTTTTTTCCCAGCACTGTATGTTCCCCATGCCATTCACTTTCTCACTGAAATTGGTTGAAAACAGCCTTACATTTCCAGGGCCCGATGTTCCCTTATTAAAATTTTCTAGAAGAAACTCTGTGTTCCCATGGCCTCATGTTTCAGCCCCAAGTTGCCTTAGTTAAATTTACTCAAATCATTCAGGAGCAGAGTATTCCCAGATATCATTATGATCTGATGCTACGTTCATTTCATCTGTTACTTATTTCAAAACTATGACATTCGTTTTGCTATGTTTAAACTAGGCTTCATGTAGTGAACTATTCCAACTGTTTGGTACTTTACACTGTTTACTGGCTAATTAGCTAGCTAAGAACTACAGAACTAGCAACAACAAAAATGTTAATATACCACACTTAAACAAGACAAAGCAGTTATTCAAAAATATATACATTCTTCACTTTGACTTCTCAAAGTATTATAAAGTTTGCTTATCTAGCTGAGTAGCTGACTAAGGCTGGCCTAGCCGAGGGCAGGTGTGTTCCTAATGAAAAATATGTGCAGTATACTGCACTGTTCTGCTGACTCACAAAATGTCTACATTTGCACAGACTCGTGTGGAATCAAGCAAAGCTTATATTTTTTCCACTTAAGAGAGTGAGCTGACACATTAGCTATACTATAGCTTAACACTAGATGTGTTAATATCAAATTGTACACAGAATCATGTTTGACATCAAACAAAGCTGATCTTTTCCTCTGTTGAGTGTGAATATATGAGCAAAAATACTTATTCTGTGGAGGCTAGAATAAACACTAATGACGTTATCACTAGCTTCCTAACTGGCTTATGTCACCAAATGAAACTCTCTACAAAGTAACCATTCTAAAAGCAGTAATGGACACAAAATAAGTACAAATGAATAAATAGACAATAGATGATAAATACAGAACAAACTAGAGACACAGAAGTGTACTGGTGCATAGAAAGTGTGTATACATATGTGCAAAATGTGTCAGACTTGAGTATATACTAAAGCCATAAAACTGGAACCTTCTGTACTGGATCGATGGCCAATTGAAAAAGCATAGTACTCATTTTCTGGTCCCAAAGGTTCCAGTGTTTCAGACATTGTCAGTATTCAAACTTGTGATCTCCCAACAAAAGTGTGAGACCTTAAACAGTTATGCCTGCTTGGCAGCCCCAGGTAAAGCTCTTTGTAATGAGACGTTTAGTCAGTCAGCGCTCTTTTAGTACTGCCAGTATGCTCAGAAAAGTTTATGGAGAAATAATTATGAATGACGTCATGGTCATATACCCACCCCTAACCACACACTTTATCTCTGTCTTCCTGTATGCACTGAAAAGCTTTTTGAAGGTAGATACTTTGCAGCACTAATGCAGAGTCTGTCTGTAAATGTAACTTAATGAATGTATTTCTCCCCCACCTCTCTCCATTCCTCTGTGGTGGCTGTGTTGTGCGCACTGCAGGAATGCAGGTCCTGGAGTGGAACGGAATCCCTCTGATAGGGAAGACCTATGAGGAGGTGCAGAGCATCGTGGGTCAGCAGCAGAGTGGAGATGTAGAGATATGTGTGCGCCTGTGAGTTGGTCTCTTTTTTTTGTCTATACACAAAACTATGAGTCAAATTTATCATCATTATTTGCAACAAATAAACCTGCTAGAACTCTAACACTGAACTCCAATACAAATTTGACATTAATTTGATAAGCCTAATGCACATCCTACGCTGATTAAAGCTTCAAAACAGAGTACCCCCCAGACTACACAGTGCAAGGGCAAATTTGCACACAACAAACTGATGCTATAGCTATAACTGACTGCACTGTAACTCTAATATAGTCTTCTCAAAATGATTAATTTAATATTATAGTTCTGTATGATTTAAAAAGTAAACCCCCCCCTCCAAAATATCACAAAATAAAAATCTATCAGTCATATTTTTTACCATACCTATCTGTACTGATGGCCATAATATTGTCGCATTTTTTTAATATGCATTTTTTCTGCATCATTTGAGTGCAGCAGCTGCCTTTTACATTGTGTCAAAATGTCAAGATAAAAAATCCTTGGAAAAAATCTCTTTATATTAACTTACAATAAAAGTAAAGAATGTATTTCTCCTTTGAAGTTATCACTTTGGATATTTTGGAGATGTTTGGCCAGCAATGATACGTATATTAAAAACGTAAATGACTGGTTGTGTGTGTTAACTGACTGTTGTTTTAATGTGTTGTTTGTAGAGACCTGAACATGCTCTCAGATTCAGAGCATCCACAGCAGCTGGAGCTGCAGTCTCAGCTAAAGGCCGGTAAGGCTTTCTTCACCGTCACTGAATGCAGATGTCTTGCTTTCTCTAACACAAACACATTTTGAGATATTATTGTTTTCCCTTCAGTGCACAGTAGCCTTTCAATCTGTTATTTATTTTGTCTTTGCAATAAGTGAGCGCTGATCTGCTTTTAGATTACTGCAGCATCTGGTGTTCATCTTAAAAGTTATTTCCGCAGTTGTAGTGTGATACTGCAGTAAAGGTGCTGGGCTGCAGATCAGCTCAGTGATAATAATATCAGAGGAAGCAGAAATAGAAAATAGATTGTTTCCCTCATACAGAAACACACACACACACACACACACACACACACTACCGTTCAAAACTATGGAATCAATATAAAGCCAATGTATTTTCAGATATGTGCAGATAAATGCCTAAAAGGATTATAATAATGCTAGTCCTGTACAATTTAACATGTTTTTTAAATAATTAGTTGGACACTAGGAAGCTATAAATAACATTTAAGACATGCTAGATGTGTCCAGAATGATATTTCAAAAGTGGAGATCAAATCTTGACAGATAACTTGACAAAAATGTAATAGAAATAGATAATTACAGTATAATATTCATCACTTTTATTCACTTGCTGTTCACTTAATTCTTGAAATGTTTAATAAACCATTTAAAATACATTTAGATTAATAGTCCATAATATTTAAATCCACGTTGTATAAGTTCTTACTGTGTGTAAAATATCAAAAATCATTAATATAACAAGGGATTTTAAACTTTTTAATGGTCATGCAAATCCCTGCATTTTCAGTAGAAGCTGTCTTCAGAAAGCTCTTTATCTCATGAACGGTAACTTCATAGGAGAAGAGAAGCATTCCTAACTACTTAAACTTAAAGCTTAAACTTACTTAAACTTAAGCTTATACAGTAGTTACATGTCTTAGCACTTGTCATCCAGTAACTATAATAAATTATTTGCATGTGAGTCCATATAATGGGCTCCTTAGGGTTAAATGGAGTTAACATCTATTAATAAAAAAACACACAGTTTCCATCGGCTCATTCAATATGAAATGTTTTCATGATGTAAAGGCTGGTAATGTTTTCATTTTTGCAAGAAATAATACTAAAAAATGAAGTCAGGAGATATTCTCATGACCATGAGACCTGATTTTACTAGGTATGCCAAGTAAAAAACTTTGTCTATCTCAGGTGTTTTTGTGGTTATTTATTTATTTATTTATTTATTTATTTATTTATATTTGTTCTACATTTTTTAATCCAGCTGCAGCCCTTTACATTGTGTCAATATATGCTGCAAACCTGCCTCCCTCTATGGATCTATTGCAGAATAAAAATGTTTTTTCCTCCTGTAGCTGACCGCCAGCGTTCTCCAGGTGTGGACCCTAAGCAGTTGGCTGCAGAGCTGCAGAAGGTGTCTCAGCAGCAGGCTCCTGCCTCCGTGCTGGCTGCTCTGGAGAAGGCAGGACACCTGCATTCAGCCACAGCATCCGCTGCCTCCAGCGCAGTGCCCAGCCCCGGCCAGCCTGGATCCCCCTCCGTCAACAAGAAACGCCACAGCAGCAAGGTACTGCGGTGTGTCTGAGTGTGTGGGTGTGTGAGTCTGTGTGCACACTTGTAGGTGTGTGTGACCATACGACTGTCTTTGAAGTTGAAGGTTAGAAGTGATTAGACTCTGATGAAGCAGGTCAGTAGCTGTAGGTGGTACGCTGCTGCTTTTCTTCCTTATCTTCATGTTTACTGTAAGTAATTATGCATTCTGACTGCAGCAGTGTCGTCTGTTGTGGTCAAAAACATGGCATATTAATTAAAGGACACTGAACAGTGTATTTGTGTATGTGTCTATGTATGTGTGCATAATTTTTCATCTCTATCTCATTTTATTACAAATGCAAGTGATAAGTGGCATTTATTTTGTGTATGTGTTTATTTTCAGTCTGCAGAGGCTCTGAAACCACAGCCACATCCAATCACTGGTGAAATACAAGTGAGTCCACATGTCTTCATATACCTCACACACATTTTGATTGTTTGTGTTAACCCCTTAAACAGCAAGTTTGTTGTTCAGTTATTAATCTGAAACCTTGTTGTTCAGTAACTACTATAAATTATCCTGTAACTACTATAAAACTAGTCATGTAGTTATGAAAGTGAGTAGACATGTTGGGTGACATACAGGTCCTAATTGCTCTGCGTTTGCATGTTGGCATCAAAAAAAAAATTATTCCATTCTTCCTCATAGTGCTATGAGACCAACAGTGGCATGAAGCCTTGAAAACATTGCCATGGTGACAGCATCACCAGCAAAAATTGATAATTATCAGAGAAGAGCTTTAACAGTGTCAATTGTTTATTAAAGTGGAAAAGATGAATAGATATACTCTTCATATTTTGTTGTGTAATACTGGGTCTGTCTGGACTTCAATAAGGAAACACTTGATATCCATGGCTCCAAAAAAATCAATATCTGTTGTTTCCAGCAGTTAAATGCACAATTTGGAAAAATTAAACTCTTCTGTTCTGCTGCCTTTCTGTCGCTGCTCCACTGAAAACAATGGATGGGCCAGTTTGTCATCTCAAATCAAGATTGGATGTGCCTGGTCATGAAACATAATTCATCATAACACTGAAAGCCAGCATTCCAGCTGTTTCATCAAAATGTAATGACTTTTGCTCGTCTAGGAAAATGTTTTCTGATTTTTGGTTACATCATCTAGAACTGGCGGGCAGGGAAAAATTATATTAACCAATAATATTTTGTTTTACCTCCCCCTCCCACCACCACCTATCATCGAGCGACGCTACCTCCCTGATACCCTGTTTCATTCACAATAGGGAGGAAAATGCATTATGACGCTGACTTTAAGGGGTTGATTGTATTTAAATGTTTTATCTATCTGTGATACAAAGTTCGGATAGGAAGATAAAGTTTCTATAAATGTAATCACACAAACGTAGAAGTGAACTTCATGATTTTGTAATCTAATTGATGTGGCACAACAAACAGCTCATAAGCTGACAGTGTAATGGTCTTTCCAAATCACAGAACAAAATATAGGTGATGCTGTATGTGGGATCATATTCTATGTTTCTTTCTCGTAGCTCCAAATCAATTACGACAAGAATATGGGTAATTTGATCGTCCATGTTCTACAAGCAAGAAACCTTGCCCCGAGAGATAACAATGGATATTCAGATCCTTTTGTTAAGGTGTATCTTCTGCCCGGGAGGAGGTGAGTACAACGTGAGGGTGCGGCTGTGTGTGTGGGTATAGGTGTGGTTGTGGGTGGGAGTGTAGGTGGGTGTGTTTGGGTGTGTGGGTGTGTAAGAGAGAGAGAGAGAGAGAGAGAGAGAGAGAGAGAGAGAGTAAGGGTGAGAGAGAGATATTTTCTGTGTTTAGGCTGTCTCTGATTTACTGGTGTGGTGTGGAGTGTGGGTGTGCGTGCTTATGTCTGTGCAGTTTTATGTTTTATGGCTGAACCTTTAATTATTTTGATGTCTAATATAATTTTTAAATTATTGATTGTTTTCTGTTGATCTAACCCACTGCCCGTCAGTACACTACAGTTTAAAAGTTTGGAATTACTTGCCATATGAGCATTTTTTGTTACTTTATATACAGTAATAATTTATGCTAAATATTACATATTCAGCAAAAAAATATTTTCAGAAGTTATATTCAATATTTCAGAAATTCTATGAACAAATATGTATATATATATATATATATATATATATATATATATATATATATATATTATAGTATGATAAATATTCTTTTAATACAAATCCATTTTTGTCAAGTTATCTGTCTTTAGATTTGATGTCCACTTTTAAACTACTCTGGATATTAATTTTTAGTATCATTAATTTTCTTGGAAGGGGTATCTTTCACAATTTCTGAATAATTCAATCCTAGAGATGTAAATAAAGTAAATCAAAGTGGTTTGATGTAAAATGGTTAATTGTAGAGACACTCAACACAAATGTAGGGATTTATTTAAAACATATCTATAACTGGAGTAACATTCTGTTAGGTTGCTTTTAAAGGCATTAAATACTTCAGATGTTTAGCTTCTATCACCATCGCTTTGAACAGATCTGACTTTGTAAGTTTCTCTAGAACAGATTATTTCATATCAAACCACTCTGAATTTTACCATTTAATTATGCAGAAATGTAGTAAAATTGGCAGGTTCCCCCTTTAATGCTAAACATCTTTCTCTGTCTTTTAGTCTTTTACCACTCTTGATTATTCTGGACGCATCTAAAATTTCTTTATTTTTTATTTATAGCTTTCAAGCTTCCTACAAGGCATATTAGGACCATTTTATAAGTGTATCTGCAACCAGATTGGTTTTATTTTATTAAAAATATGACTCTAAGCTTTTGATACCAAAACAGTGATACCAAACGTTTGAACTGCAGTGTATGTTTTGTTTCCTTTTCACCCCCTCTGGTCAAGTGACCTAGTGTAATATTTCTCAGAGGAAATACTGTCTTTCTACAAACGTTTTACATACAAAGCTTCCAAAGTTCATTACACATTAGTACAAAGAAAAATGAATTACAATGTACTGATGTGACTGAAACTACACAAGCAGAGGTGGTTAGTTTTGTTCACTCAGTTACATGTACTTTAGTAAAATGTTGATAGATTTGTACTTTTTTGTGTGTTTTCCGATTATGATGCTTTTACCTCTGTTCCAATATGTTTTTAAAGAAAGCACTACTTTTTATTCAGTTCTATTTTTGTCATTTAGTTAGTAATTCCTTTTTTTTTGCATTGTTTAGTTTAGTCTGAGAGTACGTCAGAAAGCGTGGAATAGAGCAGAAAATGGATTTTCCACTGCAGTTCAGTTAGTCACTCAGTACTATTTAAGAGGTTAATTCTAATTTTAATGGTAGAAATGTGCATTTATACAGTTTGAAGGCTGTCAAAATAAGGTTTACCATCTCTAGAAGTTAATAAGAGATTCTTGACGCAAGCTCTTAAATGGCCACGGCCCTCCGGCAGACCCAAAGCTTTATTACACACTTCTATAACCTAAGAATAGCTCACCTAGTTTGCATTAAAGTCCGTGTAGTTACTGAATAGTAAGCCTTAGTATGTAATAAGCCTGGGATTTTAAGAAGTTAATACATTTGTACTTCTATTCAAGCTGTTATCTGTAAAAGTACTTTTACTGAAACATTAGGACTTCTAGTTTTAACAGGAGTTTAGGCTACTCTACCCACCTTTGTACACAGCTGTAACACTGTAGTGGCTTCTTGGAAGGCAGAAGTGGAGTTGCCTGTTTATCTGCTTAGCCTTAACTCTCCATGCACTCCATTCAGCCGTTGAGCTTTAGCGTCTCTGCTTGAAACCCATGGAGTCAACAAGCAGCAAAATCAATATGGCCTCCTCCGGTGTCGGGCGTGTAATGGTATATCTGCTATCTCCTAATGGCCGTATCTGGAGTGTTTATGAGATTAGACTGCATTACCTGGCCAGCCTCTCCTCTATCTGATACCAGCAGCCAGGCTAAAGATGCTTCATTATGTGTGTGTTTCCACGTACACACTTTGGAGTGTTCATGCTGACAGTTTCCCTTCCTCTGTTTCCTCTGTATGTTGTTGTTATGTATGTTTTTTTTTATTTTTTTTTAATTTCTCTTTATTTTGTCTGCTTTTCTTGGATTCTCTGACTGTTTTCTGTGTGTCTGTCTGCTTTTGCATTCCTAACAAATCTCTGGATTGGTTCAGCCAAGTCATGGTTGTCCAGAACGCAAGGTAGCGTGGCGCTTCTCCTCTCTGTCATTTGCTTTCGTTCCCTTGTGTGGGTGCGTGCGTGTGCGTGATTTTGTGTTGGGTCCTGCGTTCATTACTGAACTGTCATTCATCTGAGTGTTGATTGCTGAGCCTGTGTTTTGCTGTGTCATTTGAGATGTCTCATCAAAGCTACCTCACAACCATCTCTACCTCTGAGTATTCAGATATGCTAGTTGAGTTTGGCATTTTGATACATAAAACATAAATTAGAAATTGTTTTATAAATCATTAATTAGAAATCTTAAAACACTGTTCTCAAGGCAAGTGTTTTGAGGATAACCGCTCTATTCACAGCCCACTGTAGTTGCTTTTGATGTTCATTTTGCAGTTCTCACATGTGAGCTTTGCACTGATAATTCAGCTGTTCTCTATAATTGCATGTGGGAGGCTTAGTTTCTTGTAATGTAGTGATGTCATTATCATCATCTGCAATCAGTAGCAGTACTTCCATGACTATTGCCTCATTGAAGCATTATCCTCTCACATCTGTATCTACTTTAATGAATAAACACATAGAATCTTTTGAAACTGTTTGAATACACCTTGTATTGTTTGTATAGCAGATGTGTATATTATAGTCAATGTGATTAATCTTACAAAATTGATGTACTTGTGCTAATTTGAATACTTTTTTAAATTACACTCCACAGTTTACAATCCATTTAGTAGAGTAAGCTTGAATGGGTATTGTGTATAAATAAATACATGAATAAATTAATAAATATTTTGATTTTGTCTTTTGCCTAATGTTTTGTGTCCTATCTCCACATAATGACATGGCAGTGCTGAGAACAAGAGAAGGACTAAATATGTGCAGAAGACCCAGAACCCTGAGTGGAACCAGACCGTCATCTATAAAAATATTCACCTGGAACAGGTACGCATGGTTATGGATATATGCGATACCACTGATTTCTTTTTAATGCAGTACTGTCTGATACTAAGGCCAATATTCTGATACCAAATACTTATATTGATGCTGATGTTTCTTGTGCACCTAATAAGAAAAAATTCTTATGATTGCTACAGTGAAAATCAGTAAATGTAGATATCAAACTATTTGAAAGACTTGCATTAGTTTTAACCTTGATATTAACTTCTAGAGATGGTAAACCTTTTATTTGTAGCCTTGAAACTGTATAAATGCACATTTCTACCATTAAAATTATGAGCAAAACAGTTTATCCAGCTTTGATTTTCTTTTTTCCTTTGGTAATCATATTATTTACGTCATACAGAATCAGAAATTTATTGTACTTTACTTGACTGTTAAAGTTAAACAACTAAATAGTCTCTTGCACAATTAAAGTCACATGCAAACTCAATCAAAGGCAGAGAGAGAGAGAGAGAGAGAGAGAGAGAGAGAGAGAGCAGAGTCAGGCTGCATTCTGTAATTAAGCAAAAAAACTCTCTGATGATGCATTTTTCAGTCTATTACACTCCAAATGCTGCAGCTTTAATGTTTATTCTACACTCAAATTGAATGATGATCTGATTATTTCAGCACCACACTTTTTAAATTCAGGTGCATGACTCTTGTCATGAGACAAAATAATTTCACATAAATCACTATTGCTGTGCTCAAGCTCCACCACCTGCAGTCCATTCTGATTAATGTTTAGGCCAGTAAGTCTTAAAATAAAAAGCAAAGTGAAAGACAACTATGTTTATGGGGGCACCTGTACTAAATGAGATTTCCTGAATCCAAGCCTTATGCAGCTGTGTGTCCCCCCTCCAACAAAATTGTATTCTATTTAGGTAAACCATACGGGTTCATACAGATGGTAAATCAATGGTCAGAGTATTTAGCAGCATGAAGTAACCATTACAGCAGAGCATTCACTCTACCTCGTTGTGCGACTGACTGTGAGAAGTGGAGGGGAGCAGGTCGAAGGAAAAAAGTTCTCATCCCTCAAAATTATTTACTAGTCTTTTTTAAATGTTTTAAGCCTCAAACACATTTTCAATTTCATTAAAACACATGATATCACAAGGATCAATTCACAACAGAGATAACAATAATATTACTGTGAAGCGTTAGAAAAGATTTTACATAAATGAATTAGAAGGGTTTTTTGTTTTGTGGTGTGTGCTGCAGTGGAACTAGTCTCGCTTTTGCACAGAGACAAATTAGCATAATCATGGGCAGCGTCATTTTTACACTGATATGAATATGGTCAGATGTTTTAATTAAAACAGTACTTTCAAATGTACTGGAACCCAACTGATTGCCAAGAAAAAACGAGAAAGATCTCCTGATCTTTGAGATTTGTAACAAGTCATTTTGAATGACCAAATGAGAATGTATGGAGTAAAAAGTATGTATTTTTCTTGGAAATGTAGTTGAGTAAAAGTACAAGTATTCAGTTTCAATAATACTGGAGGAAATTACAAATCTTGCAAAATAATAGTAGTGAAGTACATCCATCCACCATTATAATTCCTCAAGTATTTTCCACCCCTAATTACTGTAGGGTTTGGTAATCTTAGAAAAAGCAACCCAGTTAAGCAGTATTGTTAAAACAGCTGGGAAAATGATTGGTAAACAGTAGAGCTGTTGTCTGACCTGTATAACAGAGCTATAGCTGTACTGAGTGATGCCAGCTGTGCACTTTGTGAAGAGTTTTAGCCTCTCCCCTCGGGCTGAAGTTTTAAAGCACTAGTGCCCAAAATGTAATTTCTGTAAGAGCTTCTTTGTTCCAGTGGCAGTTAGTCAGCTGAACAAAGCCAGTCCTACTGAGTCTCCTTTTGAATGATTGAGTGTTTCTATGTATTTTTTATTTTTGTTTATTATTCTATTCTAAATCATTGGTATTGAAAATATTGATACTTTAGTATTGATCTGGCCTAGTTTTAGGTGGAAGCGTTGAACCTACAAGCTGGACACATTACTGTATTAATTTCTCATCCTGTCCCTTAGATCCATTTATTCTGTGACTGCTTCTTCATCTGGTCCCAAAGCTCCTGGTGATGAATGTGTTAGTAATTCTTCCCTACAAGATTGTGTCATTCCAGTTCATCTGAGACGTTCTTCAAATCCTGAAATCCTAATTCAAATGCACACACATATACACACGCACCCCCATCAGTGTATTATTGAGTGCAGAGCTTAACTGACAAGCGTGACGGTGCGGCTTAATTTACCCAGGATGTTACTTGATTGAAAGCTCTGCAGAATCTGCGCTCGCACCCTGTAGTTTCTAATATAAACTCGTGGAATTGTTTCTCCATTTGCAGAGTTTTTTGTTTTGCTCTGCAAAGTTTGAAGATGCCAGATGAGTGATGTTGATGTGAGAAGTGTTTTGGGGGGCGCAATGTCAGCGCTGTGACTAATGTAATGTGTGATTTTGTTTCTCTCTCAGCTGAAGAGGAAAACCCTGGAGGTGACAGTGTGGGATTATGACAGATACTCCACCAACGATTTCCTGGGAGAAGTGAGTGTTTGCTGGCATTATGATTCAACGTGCCAAAACACTTTTGGTGGAGAGAGACTTCATTATTTGCTTGATTCGATAGAACATGGACTTTATCTGCGTGAACCTCCTGCTCTACAACTTCAAACAGCTTTCATATGCATGAGTCCTTCAGATGATGACCAAAAAAACGTGTTTGGGCAACTAATCTCTGACTATGTTAGCTTTGTGGTGGTGCATGTTGAGGAACTATGGGGTGTTTGTTTTGCAGGTGCTGATTGATCTGTCTAACACAGCTCAGTTGGATAACATGCCTCGCTGGCACCCCCTAAAGGAGCAGAGTGAAAGCATACACCACGGCAGGGGTCATCCTCCACAGGGGGGTGGACCTGGTGGCCAAGGAGGCCAGGGAGGCCAGGGAGGCCAGGGAGGCCAAGGGGGTCAGGGTGGTCCTGGGGGATCAGGAGGGCCTGGGGGTACAGGAGGACAACCAGGCAGTGAACAGTCCCCCAAGACCTCTGTCATCAAGAGCAGGAGCCACGGCATCTTCCCTGATCCTGCTAAAGGTAGTCTAAGATCAGTTAACTTCCCAGTTCTAACATTACAACTAGGGCTGGGCATTTTAACTATTGTTACTATCTGAATATCAGTGTGGTCAACTATTCTAAATATTTTATGGTGTCATGACTGAAAAAGGGAAACAGGAGGTTTAACATATATTTTTGCATGCAGCTTGCATAAGAACTGACATTGCCTGATGATGATTTAATTTATTGACGTTGAAAGTGTGAATTAACACACTACCCATTGGCCTACAGAAGATAACTTGGCATTGCACAATTAACACTCAAATTTACCCTCTTTTAATTTGCAATATCTATTTGGACGCCTCCATTTCACTTAATGTGATGCATGCTGTGTCTCAGTTGTTCACTGATCACCCGCAGGTGCATACTGAGTACTAATCTTAATAATATTTTAGAAGTTTAGTGCAAATATATTAATGTACTGGACGATTTGTACTAATTTTGTACTTAGTTTTGAAGTGATGTTACGCAGTGGTGAATCATGACTGTCATAGGTCAAAAAATATAAATTCAAATTTCTGATGTGCTAATTTCTAAATGTGTTTGCGTTAAGCTAATGGTGGTGTATATACATATTTTTTGGCCATTATACTTTAAACACAGACATTTGAAGTTTGTAAAAGACATTCCATAAGTTTAGTTTTCCTTTTCTAACAACTGACTGAAGTGTTTTGGTTAGGCTACCACCCGTATTCAGTCAGTGATTTAACTGGGTCATCCAGAATGCCTGAAGTGATGTTTTGTATTCATGAGTAAAAAAAATACATTATTATTATTATTGTTGTTGTTGTTCTTGTTGTTATTATATTATTATTATTATTATTATTATTATTATTATAATTATTATTGTTATTCCCACCCATTGTAATTCAGAACATGATTGTTTGATTCCACTGTCACTTTCTAATTATATTCATAGTTAATCTAACATCCAAAGCCTTCTATCCAGCTCCTGAATTAGGCATACCCTTTTTTTCCAACCTAAATTTATAGAGAACAATGAAATAAGAACTTTATTACAGGACTTTCTGAGTTTAAAAACAACATTCCTGATGGTTCTGTTAAATAAAAATAAACAAAAAAAATGAAGACATGTATTTTTAGTTCCTAGAAAACATTAGGCCTAACAAGAAGGCTATGAGGAATCCCCACTGATGTTATGCTCTGCCACTGTACATCATATAAAGCTGTGCCCTTATAGACTGGCTGCTTTGGAATGACCACCAAATAAAAACAAAAAAATATTTGGTCACAGGCTTTAGACTTTTGAGCCTTTGGAGGACAGCTCCACACAGCTTTAATGTTTTCAAAATTTTGAAAAAGTTGTATCAATAAGTTGTTCTTCTCCTGCTACACATTGTATGTTGAGACAACAGTGCCATACTCTTATCAATGCCATATTCAAAAAGTAACCAATTCTAAGTATGCATATTACATTTTTTCATATGCTCAAATTTGCCACTTGTACAAGTATATATACAGCACACTATATCTGGGTGTCCAATCTTATCCGCAAAGGGCTGTTGAGGCTGAAGGTTTTCATTTCAACAAAGCAGGAGCTCACAGTTGTTTAAAGGCTGAGGCCAACTGATTAAACGAATAGAATCAGGTGTGCTCCTGCTTGTTGGGAATGATAACCTGCAGACTGAACCCCTGTACTATATACTCAAAATCCACCTTGAATTATCCAAATGGGACACAGCATCAGTGTCAGCTTATTATATCCTTATGTTTTCTGGGTTTATGCCACAAGCTCAGTCAGAGCCTATAAAAATACAAGACAATACGCAATTTTCATTTACTTCCTTAACTATTTCATTATCTTGCCTTATCCAAATACCCAATGAAACAAGTGAATCCTAAGATGAGCTTGGATGTCTGTGATTATTGGATATCTTCAAATTACTATGCAAATTCCTAATTACAACACAAATTATTGCTGTTTAGACACTCAGGTCCCCACCATAGAGAAGTCGCACAGCAGTCCCGGCAGCTCCAAGTCTTCCTCTGAGGGTCACCTGCGCTCGCACGGCCCCTCCCGGAGTCAGAGCAAAAGCAGCGTCACACAGGCTCACCTGGAGGACGCCGGTAACGCCATCGCTGCGGCCGAGGCAGCAGTGCAGCAGGCCCGCCTCCAGCCAAGTAACCTTTACTTCTACACATGAGTGCACAGCTTATCTCTACTGTATCTATCTCTGTCTTTCCTCCTGTTCTCTCACTCTCCCTCTCTTTCTTTGCCTGTCCCTCATGTCCTTACCTATCTGTTTAATCTCTTTTATTTTTCATTTTTTTCTGTTGGATGTCCTTCATTTAAAATCCCTAGCCAGATAAATAACCTCTATTAAACTCCCCTAGTGGATATGAAAAGAGAATATTTAAAATTTGCTCAGGAATAAAAATCTATTCTTCAGCATAAGACAAGAAGGCCAATAATCATTCAAAGTGTCATAAAAAATGCTTCTTAAACTTCAAAATAGACAATCTTTTAATACAATCTCAAATGAAATTCAGTTCAGTTCAGTTCAAAAAGTTGGATCTTTACCTGTAAAATCCTCTAAAATTAAATTTCACTTTTAACAAAGCCCACAAGTGTCCAGTCGTTCAAACTAAAACATCTGTTAACCTCCCCCTCTTCATGCTAATATCATAAACGCGCCTCGGGCAAGTTTAAACGCCAGTGAGTGAGCCATAAAAGACTTTATATCCCTGATAAAAATGAGCCCCAACAGTACTGCAACTCTGATTTCCAGAGGAAAATAGTGCAGGATTTTCAGATCAGAGATAATTTAGCGTTTGTTGCATGTATAAACCCCTCAGTATGTGGCAGTGGAAGTGCTTTTCCATGTAGCAGTATTCACCTCAGTTCTCAAGTGTATACTTCTGTCATTGCACCAGCATTGCAACATGTTCATTTGCAGTGGAATGTTATACTGAACATTTTTTAGAAACCCTGTACACGTTAATGCCACAGCATGCCAGCTCCACTCTCCCCAAATACCCCATGCTGATGAAACCTCTACCCAGATCAAACCCATATTTTTTGTTAGCATGACTGTGGTGTGTAAAAGTCATAAGCTGGTTTCATGTGAGAACAACCACACGCTATGGAAAAGTCCAACTCGGTACTGATCAGTCAACTTCTACCAGCCAATGAGAGCACATGTTTGAAGTCAGCTGACCATCAAGGGAGGAGCACTACTGAGGAGGTGAGACACATGACTCCTCCCTAGTCCAAATTAAACATGGCTAATAATTCAGTCAACACATGCATATATTTTTATAGTTTTATCAGTTATGTAATACAGCTGAAAGAGGGGGAAGACATAATTATCAGTCACAAAACCTAAAATTAATATTTAAAAATCTTTGTTTAACCTACTTTTAGTTCTGCAAAGAACTCTCAAAATATATACAATTTAATTCCAAAGTTATATTTTAAACTCTATTCCTTTCTCACCCTGTGTAACGTAACATGGCTGTCAGAAGAAAACCTCATATCTTTAAAATGGTCATTTTCAGGAGAAGGAATAAGGATTTGTAACTTTTAATGTAATTTAAAAGGCCTATATCTTACATCTTTAATGCATTTTATTTTTCCTCTGAGAGCCACTTATAATGTTTATGTGGTTTTATGAACCAAAAACAAAAATAATTCATTTTTACATGACCATTTCCAACCTCGCCATATCCCTGAGAATTAAACAAGCTGTTTTTGTTACTGTGCCTTTAAGACTGAGATATGTAGATAAGCTTTGTTCTGATTGGCTGGCCTGTGTTGTGGCTTATTCATAAATCTCTCAGAGATGAAACACTATTTATAACTTCAGTGTATATAACTTCAATAGTCATGGCTAAACTGCTGCAGGCTGAGTAGGGAATGCATGTAAATGTGTTGGTTTTTGTGACATCACAAAAACAATAAAATAAATAAATAAATAAATAAAATAAATAAATACATAAACAAATAAAATGGAGTTACGGGGTTTTGATATAATAGCGATAAAATATTGCTTTGTGTGTAAATGCATTCCATTTTGTTATGGCATTAGTTCCAAATGAAAAGAGCGTTGCTAATTGCTCTCTCTCTCTCTCTCTCTCTCTCTCTCTCTCTCTCTCTCTCTTTCTCTTTCTCTCTCTTCTCTTTCCTTTTGCTGTCTCCTCACATTTGCAGATAGAGCTGGACACAGGCTGAATGACGGAGATGATTATACCCTGGATAGTGAAGATGGCACAGGCACTAATGCATTGGACAGTGCTATCTTTCAGGTCCCTCAGCTGTGAGTGCACTCTTTCATCTTATTCCCTGTTCAGTTCATTATTCATTAGCCAACAAGATACATTCATCCATTAGGTGCATCAGTTGTTCAGCATGTCTGAAGTTTGTGCGACTTTGCTGATGTATTGATGTTTCTTTGTCCATCAGGAAGACCATTCCGAACGGTTTGGATAAGAGAGGCTCTGACTCTCTGAAGAACCTGTCTGACTCTGAAAGTAAGGCTCGTACCTTTCATTACCAGCCATTCCTGTCTTCAGTCAACAGATGGTGTCATATTGTCACTATTGTCACTGTCATATCACAACCGTGTATCTCTGGGCTCTCGAGTGGTGCAACTATCTGTCGATCATGAGAAGATGATACCCCAGTGATGCTATAGCCATCCGTGGGCAGGAGTCCAAGAGAGCACAATTGGCCTCGCTCTCTCTGGGTGGGTAGGATGGCCCCCCTTCTCCCCCCAGCACAATGCTAGTCAGTGCAGGTGGTGTGCGTTCTCGTCCAGGCGCGTTCAGCTGTCCAGTGAAGTTGCGTTAGTGGCATTTCGAAAAGATGCAGTGACTGGCTTCTCATGACTTGGAGGAAACTTGTGTTTGCCTTCGTCCTTCTAATGCTGGTGATATCATGAGACTGGGGAGTCCCACCTAGTGAGTATAATTTAAGACAAGTAAACTGGGAAGAAAACTAGGAGAAAAATCCTTTAAAAAAAAGGGTGCATCTCCATTTTGTTTATTTTTATTTTTTCTACATCATTTGAGCACAGCATAAATCATATTAATGATGAATAGAATGAAAGAAATGGTCCAAAATGACTTGTTGACTGGACTTTTGGATTCTCTGAGAGTCTTTGAGTGATTTCTGATATGCCTGTATTTTTTCTGCTGAGGCACTCAAAGGCCCATTCCCCACATTTTGTTGTCATTCATTTTTCCACTGGCATCCACTTATAGCATTTGTGTGGGTTTATGTCCCAAAAACAGTCATAATTCATTTTTGCATGATCATTTTCCAGCCTCTCCTTCTCCCTTAGAATAACCCATTCATGTCCAACAACTAAATGTAGTATGTTAAAGAAAAATTCTCTGAACTTTGTCTGATTGCTCTAAAGGGTTAAAGTTTGCAGTACCCATTTGTTATTTATAATAAGAGATATTATCATTTTTTCCCCAATCAAATTTGGATTTTCATTATTTTGATAAAAGTCAGTGACTCACGTTTTAGCCATATGGTTAAGTTAATTTGAAATATCTTCAGATTTGTGCTCAGGTGAGGTTAGAGAATTTATGGACCAGAAGAAATATAACAGCTACAAACAGCTGGTTTTGTTTAAGACTGATGTATGTGAATTATCTTTGTTCAGACTGGGTGCTCTGTATTGTGCCTCATTTGGAAATCAATCTGGGCTGCAACATTTACAACTTCAATAAGTAAACGGGCAGGGCTAAACTACTATAAACCGAATAGGCAGATAAATGTAAAGGAAGGAACCATATCATGGAAAACCAGGAAAGAGTCTGATGTAATATGTGAACAAACATACAACGCCACACAAACATCAGACGTGGACATCAGGGAAAACAGAAAATGCAAGAATATGTCACAAATGTAGCTAACCCTTTAATTTAGGTTAAACCTCCATAAATGGACTGTGTGGAACGCGGAGTGAAGGGTACAACTGAATTTAACTGAATTTACATATGTCAGCAAACTCTTATTAAAAACAAGGGGAAAAAATCATTTTTCCATTATATGCATCTGTTAACTGAAGATATTCTACACCTGCCTAAACCGTGGACCAAATGTGTAAAGTGAACACATAAGGTCGTAATAGTATGCAAAAGAATGATGTTCAGGATTTCTCATCTCACACCGGGAGCGTTACTGTAATTGACTTAGCGGAAAATGGGAAAATTCTAATCTGATTCCTCCCTGTGTGTAATACAGTAGAATGATTTAGGAGAGGCACCTGATGCAGGAGGGTGTTGGCGCAGGCCGTTTGCCCCTGAGGTTGAATTAGCACTTGTCTAAAAGCTGTTTATGAGGCTGGGAGCCTGTCGGCCTAAAGGATACAACAGTCTCCACCTTCTGTTCTACCATAACCGTGTCACTGCTCCATTCTTCTGAATTATTCATCACAGCAGGGTGTGTATGCGTGTGTGTGTGTGTCAAGAGAAGCTCCACAAAGGAGACAGGCTCCAGTCAGGCAGACAGTAGGCTGCAACCTTGCTTAGACAGACCAAGACTTTTTGAAAAATATCCTTTGAAAGCATATGGAAAGGTTCCTTTAAAATCTATAAGAATTACATTGTGTTGATATAGGAAAAAGAATTTGTGTTACTCTTCTTAAAAACCTACATAAAACTACATAAAAATGTTTTTAAAATTATTTTTTAGTATTTAGTTTTTTTTTAACATGCATCACTTTATAAAGTTTCTACTTAAAGTGTGCGTATTTTGTATTTGCTCTGTATGCTTTTATACTATAATACAGTTCCTATCCACTAGAGGTCACTGAGGTGTTTTATTTCATGAATATGTTGGGCAATGTATAGCGGTTGTGGACAAAGTATCCAATTGAGTACTTGAGTGAAAGTAATACTCTTGGTGAAATATTATGTATGGAAATTATGGAAAATCTAATTTTTACTTTACAGAAACTTGCAGTATGTAGTGGAGTACAGAGTAGGATATTTTACTGTGAAATGTAGTGGAGTGAAAGTAAAAGTCTCAAAAAAATAAAAATACTTTAACAAAGTACAGCTATTTTATGTATGGTAATGAAGTAGTTGTTATCGTCCACCACTGGTGTACAGTGATAAGCCTTGCAGTCCTATAGGAAGAGAAGCATTTCATAAACAAACAGAAGGTATATTGGGATTTATATTAATGACATTTGAAATCTTTTTATTATGTCCATACGCTGTGATCCAGATGTACTGTGCATTGCCAAATCATATTGACCTTCTCATTACCTTTATGAATTATGGATTAGATAAGAACCAAATGATGGGAGAGATCAAGGTGGCTCTGAAGAGGGAGATGAAGACTGAAGGAGAGCAGCTGGTCCTTGAGATTCTACAGTGCAGAAACATCACTTACAAGTTCAAATCTCCAGACCATCTGCCTGGTAATGGAACAATCCCTAATGCCCACATCACAACCCAGAGACTGAGGCAGTTTATATGAGTGACACTATATAAGGCCCAGTCAGGGCTTCCTAAAACAGCATAAGGACCATTTAGGATTTGCACTGTGCTCACTAACAAAACATATGGTAAACTCAAGTGTACTCATACCTGGCCAGTCAAGAATCACTACAACATGCCGGCCAGTTTTCAGGACTGCAGCTACACAGGTTTTCAAAGAGTAACATCTCTTAATACACCATTCAGTCTGTACCTTTACCATGTTCCATGTTAGAACTCTCAGCTAGTCCTGGGGCAGATGTGCCACACTGCCTCATCTATTCCCTACTGGGACTTCAAAGTGAAAGTTCAAATAAGAGTTAGTTACTTTACGAATTAGACGTACAAGGCTTAAATATAAGAGAAAACGTGATAGTTATGTGCTAAAACTATTATAACTATGATATCTTCTCATTCAGACTTGTATGTGAAGCTGTATGTGGTTAACGTGGCAACACAGAAGCGGATCATAAAGAAAAAGACCAGAGTGTGCCGTCATGACAGAGAGCCATCCTTCAACGAGACGTTCCGCTTCAGCCTCAACCCGGCTGGTCACTCCATTCAGGTGAGAAAGGCTGAGAATGATAGAGACACAATAGCACCACCATGTATTCATAAAAAAAACATATACAGAATTATCAGTGCTATTTCTTACACCATTTACACCAGCTGCCCTTTGAACTGTGTGAATATTTAATGACAAATTGACCTGTACAAATGGTCCAGAATTACTTGGAATAAAACCTTGTTACATTAACGTGCATTAAAAGTTCCTACTGTTCTTTCTTTCTCTTACAATGTTACCATTTTGGAGATTAAACATTTTTTGTGACAGTATACTATTATATTCACCACACAGAAAGTATTCCATATTCTGTACTCTTAAGCACAAAAATAAAGGTTCCTAAAGGGTTTTTGCCTTTAATGTACAATTCTAGGTAATTGGTGTAGAAACTTTACATTATGTGGAAGATCTTTAAACTTTAAAAAACGTTTTCACACTTGCACATCTTGGTTATAAAAATACTTATTTACCAAAATGGGTAATGTTTTCTTTTACAGTCCTCTAAGTTCTTGGTAAATGGGTAAGTGTGAAGTACAAACTCCAGGATGCCAGATAATTATTTTGGATGATATGATGGTACGTTCCAAGACAGTGTAATTAATCTACAACAGGTTCCAGGTATTCATTGGAAACGTGCAGAACAAATGTCTAAGTGCTGTTATTATTTTAGATAAAATGGTGGTAAGCACTAGAAAGTCAAACTAAATTACTGACTGAATTATTGAATTGCCTGAAAGCCAGACAAAGTACATAGTAAAATATCTCATAAATAGATAATTATATGGAGTAACAAATTGGTACAAGCAAAGTTGTACTAAATTTCACTGAAATTTCACACGTTTAAACCAGAAAAGGAAACTGGAAAATCTAAAAGTGGAAAAGCACCATGTAGGTTTAAAGGGTAAAAAGACACAAGAGTCGTATACAGTATGTAGCTGTTTGTTATCTAGAAACGACACTGAATCCGGGCTGTTAAAAAAAGTAAGGATTCTTACTGTGGTTTAACTGGGTCCTCACCATAACGTTTGATGTCTTTTTCAGGCTGAAAGTTTTATTACACACTTCTATAACTTTAGAATATCTCAGCCAAGTCCCTGTAGTTGGTAAATAATAAGCCTTAGTATGTAATAAGCCTGGGATTGTAAGGAATTAAACATGTGACATTACAATTAAATTTAGTACATCTTCATTTTTACTTATCACTTTTTTTGTAATTATGACATATTTTACTGTATCTAGAACCTGGTGTTTCAACGTAATGTCATTTAACGTTTCTAGCACCTACCTATCATTTTATTATTCCACACATATTCCACACCAGTGAATACCTAAAACCTGTTTGGCATTTCAGTGTAGTTCAGTTGGAACTTTTCATCATGTTACCCAAAATAATTAGCTAGTACTTTAGAGTTATTACTATGCATTTGCTGAAATTATGTAAGAAAAGAAAACATTACCAAACAAGTGTTTTATGGCGGAACCAAAAGTGGTTCTTTTATGGCATCACTGGAACCTCTTTTAGCACCTTTATTTTTAAGAGTGTAGATGTAAATGTATGATGTTCTTATAACACTGTTCATAGTATTTAACGTATAGACCACAGTCCTAATATTCCAAATCTGTCTCTGCACTGCAAACACACACAGCTGTTCCTGGTGTCTAATGGAGGGAAGTTCATGAAGAAGACTCTGATTGGTGAGGCCTACATCTGGTTGGACAAGGTGGACATGCGAAAACGAGCAGTGAGCTGGCACAAACTAGTGGCCAGTTCTCCTCACACACAGCCCTGATCTCCATCAGCCAACACTGCCATCAGAGCAGAGAGAGCTACAGGCGCCCACACTGATAAACTGGTGTATAATGAAGTAGGTGAAATAGGGGAGGGAACAAAGATGGAGGTGTTTCAGTAGATACGTATTCTCTGTGTCAAGGGGGATGTCATCAAGTCATCTTACTGAAAAGTACCGTTTTTACTGGTATTCAGACCCTCTGTCAGAGCATAAAAATGCTTTCTCTACTCTTGCATCACTATGTTAAGAAAAAACATCAAATATTTACCTCCCAACTCTTTCTCTTGGCCAAAGCCATCTCCCTAGCACCATATCTGCCGTTAAATTCATGTGAAAAAGAGTAGACTTATAGATGTGCTATTACAGATGATCTAACCTCTTTTAGCAACTCTGTCATTATCCATTTAAAGTCTTTACTTCATGTTTTGTCATGTTTGTCAATGTTTTCTGCTATGTTAATACAGCATAGTAGAATAGAACACATCTTCTCCTAAATGGAAGTCTTGTGATGACAAGATGCCTTTATCGAGAGAAGCTGTTTCATGATATATTATAAATGTATGACAATACATTTTGTACAGCCAGTTTACAGAAGTCTTTATATATAGATGGCTAAAAAATCAAATTGTGCAGAACTGACTATATAAAGAATTATCAGTAGCAGAGTTTGTGATCTTTTTCAGAGAATCTAGTCTCCTGTTTCCTCACTCAGTCCACTCTATATTTTATATATGATGACATTTATCATATCAGATTATGTTATATAAATATATATGGTGAGAAGATAAGACAATCTTAGCTCAGATGTAGTGACTGTTTCATTTGGTGAATACAGTGTGAACCTTCAGCATAAATCCATTAAGCACATATACTCCATGAGTCTTTAGTATCTTAATCTGAGTGCTTCATCCACATTTTAGCAACCTGTTCATCTGACTTTTTTGCAGTATTTCTTTTTGTCTGTGGGCCTTGATTTCATCAACTTGGACTTGATTCCCTTAAGCAGCTGCAATGATGGATAGAAACCACTGCTGAGGATAGTGATTTTTCTGGGGTGCTTTTACGTTTTGAACACACTTAGTTGTTAGAGACCTTGAACTATGGATGCTCTGCGTCTCTGTCTTTGAAAGTCTTGAGTCCTCGAGTGGTTTTCCAAGATGCCACAGGGACGACTACATGGAGTCAAATGCGCAGTATGATTGTATGTGACCATATTTTTGATTTAAGCATCTTGGAGTAATTGTCATGTAAATGTTCAGATGTTGTCAGTTGTGCTCTCTGTTTTGTGATGAAGTTCTGTGTTCAAACAAAATATGCAATGAAGAAAAAAATAAGAGAAAAAAATAATAAGATGCAGATCTCTTCACTTCGACAGGGGCGTTCTGCAAGGCTAAATAATTGGCACTATTGGAATCTGGTTGCTGTTTGTATTTATTTCAAATGGTGCAAGGTGTCTGTCTATAATTGGTGTCACTGCCCATTTGTGGTGCAGTTTAAAGCTGTTCTAGTCCTTTTTTGTTTTGCTTTCGGAATGATTGTTTGTTGCCGGTCTGTTCATGTCTGTTTTACTACCAGAGATTCAATGTCCCAAACATATTCACTGCCACTTTACCCTGCACCATATCAGTGTAGAAGATGCATAAAAGTTCAAGTATAGTAGTCTGGTGTGTTGGTCATCAGAACACGAAACGCACCAGATGATGACCGTCGACTCGGTCCGTCGACAGTCTTTGGACTGAAGACATGGAGGAATTACTATATAGACATACAGATCTCCTTAAAGCAACAGTGTTTCTGTATTAACATCAGTGGATTTCTTTGCACATGGAAAAAAGGTCATATTTAATACGTTGTACAGACAGTGTACAGATATCACTTGTGCTTGAACAAAGAAGTCTTCATGTGGTGAATAAAGGGTTGCTGTCACAGTGAGATGAACTAACATGTGCCAACCTAATATCCTAACCAAATCCACTGGTTCAGTTTGGGTAATTCTATGCAACATAAATTATGTCTGGATGCATCTTTCTTAATGTGTGCTATCAATGAGAGTTTGTCTGAATAAATATGTACCTTTTAAAGATGATTTTACTTTTAATGAACATAGATATAAAAGATCTAAAACAGAACATTATAGCATAGTTTTTTGTTTGTTTTTTTTTAACTTGCTGTTATGACACAGTACATGTTGAGCTTATGCACTTTATTTATAAGTTACTGTTCCAATGTTGTGTTTGACTTTCCATCAAAACTATGAGAAAGTTATTGCTACATGGAATACAGTGACATTTGCTGGAAAACAGCAACTCTTCATCAGAAGCACTGAAATACATTTCAGCCTTGTTGGTGCTCTACAACTATAAGGGCCCACTTTTGATGGCCAATGGATTCTCACAATCAATACCATGAGTTCTACGTCTATAGCATTCCGCCTCTAATATAGTGCTGTGTATCTTGTTTCCAATCAATGCTGTGTCCCCTTTAAATAATGACAGAAATAATGGCTTCACTCATATGGCCGTTGTCTCCTCTCTGTTATTTCAATGTAATGTTAGCCTGATTTGTTATGCTGTATTCCTGGGAACTTAACATCTAAGATGAATCTGATGTATTCAGTTGCAGTAAACAGTGTGAATGTGATTTGATTATTTTTGATTATGTAAATACATAAGATATTTTCTATAAGAGGTTTGAATATTTATTTGGTCTGACACTGAGCATGTAAGTGCGATCTCAAGGTCAAAGTCCTGTCTGTACATATGTATTTGTCTAGCTATGTGAGCAAATCATCCATCCGATTGACTGAAGAATGTCAATCAACCCATTTCAACCCCTCCAATGAAAACAGTGGCATCTCGCAGAATTAAGACGAGAAGGTTAAAAAAAAAACACAAAAATTCTTTTCAACTTCAGTGGTTGTCAAAGAATTTCTAGGTTTTACATGGATGTTGCATGTTTCGCTAGATGTTTGTTGATATTTTTGCCTCCAGATTCTGTTTCAAAAGAGGGAAATTGAATAGATTTATCTGAAGATGTATGCTGACTGTAAAAATGCTTGTAAAATGAGTCTTGTTTTTCACTTTGTGTAAAAATGAGAAATTTAATGTTATGGTTTTGTGGTTGTCCACAGGATGTCATGGAATTATGCAAATTGTGCTGTAGAAAAAAAAATAATAAAATGTTTCCCTGAGTCTAAATAATAAATATTAAAGAAGAGATTCTATTCCAAATGTGAAAACGTGTCATGTCTGTTTTATTTGTTTATTTGCATATGGCATGGGAGGTGCTGTAAGTTGGTTAGTTTCAACAAAAAGTCAGGCTCTACTAGACCCACTGGTGATTTAACAAACTATACCTTTAAAATTAAATGGCTTGGAATTTCTTTTCTAGAGATGGCCCTCTCCCTATATACACAGTATATCAAGGAATAAAGCAGAAAATATATACTCATTGTGCTTAATTAGGAGCACTAAACTAATACTTGGTAGAGCCTCCAGTACTTGGTATAGCTTCCAGTCTTCAACTGTCCAGGTTTTGGTGAGCCTGTGCCCTCAGCTTTATGGTCTTGGCTGACAGAAGAGGAACCTGATGTGGTCTTCTGCTGTTGTAGCCCATCTTGCTCAAAGTTTGATATTTTGTGCATTCTGTGATGCTTTTCTACTCACCACAATTGTACAATTGAGTGGTTATCTGAGTTACCATAGCATTTCTGTCAGCTTGAACCAGTCTGGCAAATTTCTTTTGACCTCTCTCATCAACAAGGCGTTTCCGGCGTTAGGTGTGCAGGTGTTCCCGATAAAGTGCTTGTTGAGTGTATGCAACAGATTTACAAATTACTTCAAACCCTCCAACACAAAATATAACATCAAATTTATCAGAATTTGTGTGTCTATACTTTACTTTTATCACAACGTCCATTCTTTTCTGGAGACTTGCTTTCAGTTTTTCAAGGATTCTGCAGGGATATTTTTCCACACCTCCAAAGTTCTGTCTTACAAGTTGGTTGTTTTTTCTGCGTCTCACAGCAGTTGCTTAGATAATTCAGGAGCCATACATGCTTTCTCATTCTTTTGGTATTAAGCTATATTTGTTTCGTGTGAGTGTTCTGTGATTGTTACTGTCTAACCAGGTCCAAAAGTTCCGCATCTTTCCTGCATAAATATAATTCAAGTGATGACCTCCATTTTCAGACCAATATGAACTCATCTAGATGTACTACTTGGATAATAGACCCTCAGAGAAAAGCCAATTTAAATTAACACATTTAATAAATAATAAATCATTTCAAGTAAATATTTTCAGTTTAATTACCTCTAAACTGTTCCCCTGAATTTAAGGACTTGCAGAAAGATCTGCATTTGCAACATTGTTCCAACAGAGGGCACCAGCTGAACAAAGCAAAGCCTAGTCTAATGAGTCAAGCTCACCATCAAATCCTCAGGATATTTTTTTTGACCGTTTAGACTTCATCTTACAAAAATGGCTAGAACAAAAAAATGTAATCTCATAATCAGTGTCTTGACAAATAAAGCTATTTTACCTGGTGACTTGTGTGTTGTTTGTTATATGTACTGCTTAAAATGCACTGCATGTTTCATTGTGAAACATCATTCTGTGCTAAGATTATGATTACTTCAGAGAAATATATCAATGCTGGAAAGGAAACAAATGCATAATGTCTCCATTCAGCTAGTCAACATTCAGGCAGAGATAGAAAATCATCACTCTAGGCCACACTATTCACATTTGGCTATGCTAATGCTACATCTGACCATCACAGTAGCAGATATAGTTCAATGACCAGAACAGCAGTAGGGCTTAGTGCTAAGACTGTAATATAAGCGTGTGAGATAGCACTGTTTGTGAACATCCATTCTCTTCCTGGGTAATGCAGGCAGGGCGCGTTGCCATGGCGATCCAGTGTAGGAGGGTTGCAGGGCCCAGGGGACTGGTGTAGCTTGGATTTCAGGATGTGGTAGTGAGTGAGTGAATGAGTGTGTGTATTTGTGTGTATTTGTGTGTGTGCATGGGCAAGTCTACAAAAAAACAATAATTTGATACATTTGATTGTAATAACTGATGTAGATGCTGTATAATGAGAGATTATTTCTCCCAATCCACACAAAACATCTACTCATGATTATGAGGTTTGAAGACTACTGCTTGAACCTCCTAATGTAGCCCTTAGCAACAATAAAAAGACTTTTATAGCATGTTATTTACCCTATGCTTATCAAATAAAGAATGACTGTGCAAATGTTGTGCTTAATTAGATTCCTCTTATACCATCCCAAGAGTAACTGGTGCCTTTGTTCTTGCTTTTAAAGCATTGTGCAAAAGACAACCTTTCATTTATTTAATTTCCAGTCAAAACAGCCATTATGTACAAGATATTGTTTTTCAGGATTAGGAAAAAAAG